TGCCCACATCCCTCTGACGGGCCTTCCCACACTCAAGAGATGAACACTTCCTCCCAACTTGGTGTCATACAAAACAGCTCGGTGAGGGTGCACTCAATTCCCTTGTCTGTATCAACAATATACAGGACCAGCCCCGGTAGTGACCCCTGAGGAACACCACTAGTGACCAGTTGTCAGCTGAATTTAACTCCATTCACCACCACCACACTCTGAACGTAGCCATCCTCACAGATTTTTATCCAGTGAAAAGCACGCTTGTCCAAGCCATGGGCTGCCAGCTTCTCCAGGAGAACACCGTGGGAGCAGTCAAAGGCTTTACTGAAGTCTAGGCAGATTACATGCTCAGCATTTCCCTCACCCACCAGGTGGATCATAGAAGATGATCAGGTTGGTCAAGAGTACCACTTATTGGCTAGGAACGATCCCCTACTTGTCCTGCACACACCACATTATCACACTCAAGATCTGCTCCATGAGCTTTCCCAATACTGAAGTCAAGCCAATTGGTCTACAGTTCCTAGATCCTCCTTCCAACCCTTCCTGTAGATGGGCATTAGTAGGTCTCCACTTGTATGGGACCTCCCTGTTTGACCTGGACTGCTGATAAGTAATGGAAAGTAGCTGAGTAGTCATGCTAGCTCCCTTTGCACCCATGGGTGCATCCCCTGCAGCCCCACAGACTTGTGACAGTCCAGGTGAAGCAGCAAGTTGCTGTTTCCTCCTGAATTCTGGGGATTTTATCCTGCTCCCCATTCCCGTCTTCCAGATCAGGGGGCTCAGCACCCTGAGGATAATGGGCCTGACTATTAAAGGCAGATGTGAAGAAGGCATGGAGAATCTCAGCCTTTTTCTCATCCTCAGGAACAACATTCCCCACCACATTAAAAAAAAAAAAAAAAAAAAAAAAAAAAAAAAAACATAAGATTCTCCTTGGCCCTCCTCCTGCTGTTAATATATTTCTCGTGAAACACTTTTTTATCGTCTTTAACAATGGTGGTCAGATCAAGCTGTTGCTGGGCTTCAGCTTTTCCGATTTTCACTCCACATACCCTAGCAACAGCATAGTACTCTTCTTGAGATGCCTGACCCTTCTTTCAAAGATGGCAAAGATGTCTTTTTTTTCCAGACTCTCAGCAAAAGCTTCCCATTCAGCCAGGACAATTTTCCTCCACGCTGGCTCAGTTTACGGCACACGGGGACAGGCCCATTACTGCGCCTTTAAGATTTCCTTCCTGAAAAATGTCCAGTCTTCCTGGACATCTCTGCCCTTCAGGACCAACTCCCAAGGGATTCTCCCAACCAGCATCCTGAAGAGTTTAAAGTCTGCCCTCCCGAAGCCCCAAGCAGCAGCTTTGGTGACCCCTCCCTGCCTTTTGACTCACCAAGAAGAGAACTCAATCATATTATGCTCATTATGCCTAGGGCAGCTTCTGACCACACCTCCCACTCATCCTTCTCTGTAAACAGCAGGTCTCACAGGGCACTTCCCTGATAGGCTTTCTTACCAGCTGTGTCAGGAAACATTTTTTACACAGTTCACGATCCTCCTAAACTGCTTCCACTGGGCTGTACCACATTTCCAGCAAATATTAAGTAAGTTGAAGTCCTCTGCAAGAACAAGCACTAGCAATTGCGTCTGCCAGCTGTCTCTGTAACAGATGCTCACTGGGATGTCAGCCTTGTTGCCCTTCCCCCAATCATTACCCACAAGGCCTTGATATTATTCCCAGCATTAAGTTCTACAACATCAAAACACTCCCGAACACAAAAATCCAATCCACTGCACCTCCTTCCTTGCCTATCCCTCCTACAGCGCTTACAACCCTCCACTGCAGCACTCCAGTCCCAGCAATGTTCCCATCATGTTTCAGTGATGGTGATTAAGTCACACTTTTCCTGCTGCACAGTGGCTTCTAGCTTCATTTGTTTGTTATCCATGCTGTGTGTACTGGTGTAGATGCACTTCAGCTGGGCTGTCAGTCTCACTCTAGTCCTGGCATGCTGCCCCTAGGTTCATCTCTAGCAAGCCTGATTTTATCCCCTTTCCCCTTCAAACCTAGTTTAAAGCCCTCTCAGTGAGCCACACTAACTGCTGGGCTAGGATCCTTTTTCCCCTTTGATTCAAGTAGACCCCATCTATTATCAGTAGGCCTGGTTCTGAATAAACTAACCTATGATTTAAAAAAACAACAACAACAACAACCAAACAAAAAAAAGCCAACAAAACCCTGATGGCACCATCCTAGATATACATACATATATATAGATACTCAGCTAAATAAACATACACACATGCACATCTATATGCATCCATTTGGAAATTATTTGTTGCTGAGTTTAAGGAATTGTGCACTGGAGTGATCAACAACTGAAAGTATCACAACGACACATTAAAATAAACAGAACATGAATGGGGAATGGCAGAACTGGGGCTTGTGTCTACTGAGATCAGTGGGAAGCAGTGGGACTAGCAGCACCTTTGCAATGGGATGCACCACCACTGCTTCCAGTGGAACAAACAGAAATGCAGATGCTGTCTTTATCTACAATACCACTCACATCAAGACCTACACATAAGAAACAAACTTATCACTTGCTTCTGTAGAGAAAAACACTTGTTCTCCATAAAAAGCATACTACCCAGCTCTAGAGTAACATCCATTACTTATCTCTCAACAGTAGGACAGCAAAGCAAAGCAAAGCAAAACTTGGGCTCATAGGCCAACTTAGGCTGAGAGAGACCTCTGGGGACCTCTACCTCCACCTTCTGAGAGCAGGGCCAGCTGTGTTCATGCTGTATTGCTCAGGACTCTACCCAACTGAATCTTCAAAGCTCCTAAAGACAGGACTGCACAATGGGCAGGAGGGCTTCTCTGGACAATCCACTGTACTGTCTGACCGCCCTTACAAGAAGGTTCCTGCTGCCCCAAGGAACATCTCATTTTTTCAATTTACAATCTGCCCTTTTTGTCTCAAGGTAACCTTAACCTGGACCTCAACATGATATAAAACCTTTCTAATAATGCACAATCAATGAATATAAAGATGTTTTAATTATGAAATAAATAAGAGAGTTTGGCAAAGCAGATTACAATAACAAAAAGAAAATAGATAGAACGCTTACCCCTATCCCAGGCTCACTGCAAAACTCAGAGGAGGGATCTCCAGAAGTGATCCTTTCCCATTGGTAGTCAGCCCTTAAATGGGTCTAGGAGAGGTGCAGCCAGGCTCCACTCCTTCCAGCAGCACAGGTGAATTGTGGAATTGCCTTCAGCTGTGCTCCCAGGGCTGACTCACAGCTCACCTCAGGTGATCAATCAGAGGTTCAGGCTGTAACTCAGCAGTTCCCATACAAATAACAAAAAAAGAAACCCCACCAAAAAAACAGAAAGACAAACCAAAATATGTTGGGCACATGGTAGATAACTTAATTTCGTACATCTCATCATCACGTAATTTTACAAACTTTTCTGTGAATTTTTCTACTAACTGGAAAGAAAATCAAAAGAAGAAGGATCTGTAATCCCTACCCAACAAGCACATTTATATCGCAAATTACCACAGCTGACACAGGTGGTTCTTGGCATTGTCTGAGACAACCACACACTTTCTACTTCTGCTCCTAGCTGCTGCCACAGCCTGACAGCTCTGTGTCTGAGCCCCATGGACAGCAAAACCGCACGATCTCTGAACTCACTGCACCTGAACTTGCTTACATGGTTCTATGTAATGGAAAATCCATTCTTCTCTAAGTTTAAGACTCTTGATGATAAGCACAATAATGTACTTAACACATAATTATTCACAGGACAGAAGTATTACAATAATTGTTAAAGAATCTGTTATATAAAAATGCAAAAAATTTAGAGATTTTATTCTACATAGTCTTGGAAACATTCAAGGAACATTCCTTGAATGTTTCCAAGCTTGCATAAAGGGAGTGTGCCCATAAATATTGCTGCTATTTTGAGTATGATGCTCTTACTATTAAATGGGAAAAGCTGCTTATGCTTACTCTATTCTGCTACTTAAAAATAAGACAAATTTATTTTTGTTGTCTTTAACACATAAAAGGGTATGCTCCAAAGTCAGCAATGCGTGTAGAGCTTTAAGCAGCAGGATGAAGCGGCCTTGCACAGCTTATGAAATAACTTATCTCAATCTTGCTAACCTCAAGAGGCAGGACAAGCCTAAGATAAAGTTGTCTTCCAGGTGGAATGGGCCCATCTTGGGTCGGGTCTAGGCCTTGTCCCATGTAACCACTTCCTCAGTGACCAAGATGAGGGGACATATGCAGATGACACCAACACAGTGCAACAGTCTGTGTGCGCAGAGGTGGTGGGGTTGCTACTCAAAGGGACCCTAATGATGTTACAGCAGGAGGGCAGCCAGCAACTGGAAGAAAGTGATCATCCCTCTTTACTCAGCACCTGTTAGATTCTATCTGGAACGTGGCACCCAGATTTGGACCCCCCAGCACAGTACACACCGATAACCCTGCCTGAATTCAGCCCAAGACCAGCAGGCTGGCCTGGCAGGAGCACAGGTGCTGTGAGAGGTAACTGCGGGAATGGGGCTTGCTCGGCTCGAGAACCAAAGAGACGGATGAGAGGCAACAAATACTGAAACAAGAGAGGTTCAGACTGCACGTAAGGCTGTTCGTATCCTCACGAGGACGGTCCCGCACTGCTACAGGTCTCCCCGAGAAGCGGCACGACCTCCACCCACAGAGAGCCTTGCGATCGCACAGGCTCAGGCCCAGGCGGGGCGGCAGCCCGGCACGGCCCTCCTGAGGCCCCAGCCGACCCGCGTTGCCTGACCGCGCCGGAGCTTCGTAGAACCGTCCGTCGGCTTCCCCGGGCCGTACCGTTCTCCCACACTTCCCCTTAGCTCTCAGGCCCGCCGTTCGCCGTCTCGGCTCCCGACGTGCTAACGGCCCCTGGCTCTCCCCCCCCCCCGACAGGCGCTATCCCCTGCTCCCCCCGCGCCGGCCGCGCTACCTTGATCTCGCTGTCGAGCAGGCGGGTGCGCTGCACGATCTCCTCCGTAGACATCTTCAACACCTCCTCGCCAACGCCATCCTGCGGGGCACAACGGCACCGTCAGCCCCGACCCCCGGCCCGGCCCCGCTCCCCCCGGCCCGGCCCGCACCTCCGACTCATCCCACACCGACGCCATCTTTCTCTCAGCGAGCGCGCGGCGCGCGGCCGATTCCTCACGGCGGATCCGGCTCTCCCGCCGCCAGACGCGGGGCGCACAGCAGAGCGGCAGCGGCGACGGCCGTAGGGGGCTCGCGCCCCACCCCGTTCCCGCCGCGACTCCGGCCCTCGGCGCCCCGCTGCGCGGCACCTCCCGTGCCGAATCTGCGGTCGGGAAGACAGCGGCCGCCGCGCCGGTCACGTGCTCCTGCCAAATCTGCTGCGTGATGCCTCCGCCGCCATCTTGGTGGGGGCGGTGCCATCGCGAGCGCCACTCCCCCTCCCCGCGCCCGCCCGCCCTCACGCGGCATACGGGCTGGTGGCGGCGGCAGCGTTTATTCCGGTCAGCGCGCGTACAGCAGTGCGCGAAGAGAGGCGCCCCGATGCGGTGACACCGAGGGCGCCCCGAGGACCCTCCCCGCCGCCCCCAGCAGGAGGCGCCGCGGTTCCCGTGCCCGGCGGCGTCCGCGATCACACGTATCCGGGTTTCACCGACAGCCGGCGGCAGTTGGGGCAGCCCCGCGTCCCGTTGGTTTGCAGGCACCTGCAAAAGAAGGCGGGCGGGTGGCAGGGGGTTCCGCCGTCCCCGGTGCCAGTGCTGCCTCTGAGCACGGGCCACACGGGCGGGCACGCAGCCGGCCCGGACACCCACGAGATCTGTCATACAGTGGTTTGGTGGAAGCGCTGCAGCACGTTCCTCCACAAGAGGAAGCCGCGTTGCTCTCCTTTCCTGCTAGGGACAGCAGCCCCCCTGGACTCTGGGGGCAGTCCCGTAGTGGTGTAGTGTCATCCTGATGGTATGTTCTTAAATACTTCAGTTTTGGAACTAAAAATAAGACAACGTCCATCGTGACAGTAACACAGTAACGGACTGAACGCCCTACTCAGCTTTGTACTCCTCACCTACCAGACTGAAATGGAGGGGTTCAGGGAAAAAACCGCTTGTGGGAGCATAGATCTCGCAACAGGTAGTAACAGATAATCTGTGAACTGAGCTAAGTGCCTACAAGGCAAGGGAGTGAGGTGGACGTTACAACTAAGTCTCACCCTCTAAAGGCTATGGCTAATGAAATCGTGTAGAACACCTGGGGAAAAGCATACACAGCTGTCCTGTTCTGAGCATGAACTGCTCCTTACTCTAACATAAGGGCAAAGATCTCCGGTATTTCCAGCTCATTACTTTAAGTGGAAGAAGTGGGAGCAAGGCAGCGCCTGCAGCTGGTTGTTCTTCTCCCCAATAGATTCTCCACACATGCCACAGTACAGCTCCATCTCCTCCACGCATTCATGGAACTTCACTACATGGTCACGCAATTCTCGCTGCTGCCCCTTTGTGCGATAGATCCTTTCACACAGACAGTGGAGCTTCAGCAGACCAAGCTGCACATGAGAGGCAGAAACAAGAAAAATGAACAAGGTGAAGATAGAGCACTAGCAAAGAGACAGGACCACTACGGCCCCAATTAGTCAGCTAGAGAAGTGACAGCATAAAAGGATGCCCAAGGGATAGGATCGGTCATAAGGACATTTGGTTCCCTCTGCCTGCAACCAGCACTCAGTTCAGCTGTGGCACAGGCCAGAAGTATTCTTCAAGAGGAGACCCCTAATCCTTCAGCTCTGCAGTTGCTTCACATTGCGTTTTTAATGCTTCCCATTTCTCCCTGTTTATCCCACTGTAACCCCTTCCTCACTTCTCAGACCTGCAAGTTGATGCTTATAACTAAACACAACAAAGCATCATCAGTTGGTCAGTATAGATTCATTAGTAAGCAATAACAAGTCTGGATGCTGTAATGCTTGGATTATTAAATCCCTTGACAGAAGACTAGAGAAAGTCATGAAGAGAAGCTATAGGGTCCTACCTTGTTCCCTAGTCCCTCTGCCAGTTCCTGTGCCTTTTCAATGCTTTCCAGAGCCTGTAAATAGAGAGCATATATTACCAATTCTCAGTCTGATGTAACAAAAATGTACACGTATGAATACTCTGACAGGAACTGAAAAAAGAGATACAGTGTGAAATTTGAATGAACAAACATCCCTGCAACCATGAACACATGGCTGTCTGGTAGATATATCCCACCAAAAGTCCATTCAGAAGAAAAGCTTTGTTTCTGAAAAAAACAAACAAACAAAACAAAAAAACAACAACAACAACACAACCCACACAGATATAACCATCATTTCTGTTCCAGCCACGTCATGCAAAGAAGGGCAATGATGCTGGCAGAGGCTGGGGTTTCTAAGCAGAGAGAATACACTCATTTAAAAATCAATCACACAGTCTTCATGATTGGGATGAAGCATAAGTAAAGCGAATCTTGTCCCCCATCCTGCTTTACAGGCCCAATCTCTTTGAGCAACTCCAATTTCATTATTACAAGAGGAAGGGATCAGCACTACTAACAGGCTTTTCCATTGTCTTGCTCTTCATGCATCCACTTTGTCCTACTTACATATAGCACACTGTAGAAGTTGTACTGCGAGTAATCTTTTCAGTTTGAAGTGTTTAGTATGGCAACTGTTATATCAAATGAATCTCTACTTTCCCCTACATGTCAGAGCGTTCCACGCTGTTCTGATACTCTGTAGTTCTGGGAAATGGAGACTAAGACCCACTTCAGGTTTGTTGAGGGGGAAGAAGACATTTGCCTTTAACCACAATATTGATGAGGAACCTTATCAAATTTCCACACTGGAATAGTAGGTGATGCCAAGTTATAGGAGTTGAGAACCATCTGAGATGAAAGAGTGCACTCTGAATACAGAGCAGAGGGCATTATATCTGGGGCAGCAACAGCCTAGGATAAGGGACTTGCAGAGGAAGTAGGCAGGAATCAATGGGTAGCAGATAAAATATTACTGAGGAGTGTGCCTAGGCAGTGTGACTGTATACTGGAAAACTTGAAAGTAATTACTAGGATTAAGAAAGTGAAGCATATGAAGTGGAAGGAAGAGATGCTTGAGAAGTTCAGGGGACAGTCTTTCTAAGAGAGAAACACGAGACTGCACGAGAGTTTGGGCAAATAGGCTGTGACAGCAGCTGGAAGGAATTGGGATAGACACAGTATTAACTACATGCAATGAAAGAAAAGTGGGAGTAACTGTCTGAGGAAATTGCCACAAGAAGGCCAGGATAAGAATAGGGAATCTGCAAGTGGAAAGCTTTCTTAAGTAACTGATACTGGGATGGAGCAGCATGAGAAATGGAAACTGGGACAGGTAAACTGAGGAATAGCCGTGGGCAATCGTTCAGTGCTTTGACATTTGAGGAGGTCATGTTTGGGGTGATGGGCATAAGGTCCCTGACCATTAGGACAGATTTGCCTCTAACGCTTAGTGCAGAAACTAAAACACATTCCCTTCTTTTACGGATACCGGTGAGATTAGGGCTCTCTGCAAAGTCCTTGCCAGGGTTTCACAGAGATCTGCCTGTAGTATCAGAGCATGGCAGTGGCTGAAGGTGGGATGAGGGAGTGTAGAGATTAGATGAGTGCTCTGAATATTTTTTTGTTTAGCGGCTTACCTGCATCCTGTCCCATATTTTTGAATATGATATATGAAAGATACATGATATATGAGGTTTCATTAGGCAAAGTTTTTAAGTCCAGTTTCTTCCAATGCAAACAGTTTTTACTTAGTAAGATTGCAATGTGTGTTTTACCCAATTGATTTCCCACTGTAGGGAACTCAGATGCTGATTGCACTTTGAGCGTGTTTTTTTTCTGACAGTTACATGCTTGTTTTCCTTCTGAGAAGCTTCATTTTACCTCATATACTTTGTCTCTCTCGTTATTGATAAGAGTGAAACTTCAGTTATCTACACCCAAAATGGCACCCCGGCGTGTCACTATGTAGACATTCCAGGTCCTTCAGCACTGAAGACTAACTTTTGAGCATTTTCTTCTCCAGCACACTAACAGTGGGATCTGCTGCATCTAGTACAGTCTGGATTTTAAGACATATACACCACCTAAGCACTTTCAAAACAGTGAACTTCATCCTCTTATACTATATTGACCCACTGTCTGTTCTCAAATCCTTTTCTGCTCATTTCTCTGCTTCACGTCATGATTTATACACCTCTAGTTTCTCCAGGAATTTATGGTCATATTTGTCTGCAAAGCACATGGTGGAGCTGTAGGGCTGTCTAAAAATGATCACAGTAATAAGCTTAGTCATACTGCTAGAGAGTAGGCAGCGGAATCTATTTTAGAGAATAAGCTGATTGCCTTCAGTGGCAGAAGCAGACTTCCTTTCCTCAATGCTGGTTTCTCAGTGTACTGTTTAAAGTCATCAGGACTGACTAATGAGACGGTTCTGTAGGTCACCAGCCTGACTCAGAATGGATGTTCATATTGTTAGCAACTAATTCCTGGCTTAGAGGAACCATCTGGAGAAATACGATTACACAAGCAGGAGACTGCTGGTAGAAAAAGGGGGACAGTTCTCTACGCATCTGATGGGCATTCAGCTCAGAATGCCCATCTCATCTCATCTGAAAGACTTATGCAGAAACAAGTTTGTTACTGACCTTGTCCAGCTCCTTCTGGATCATCCAGCACTTAGCCACTCCTAGCAGCACCTGGATCTGACCCAGGCGGTTTCCAATCTCTGTCATGATGCTCATGGCAGAATCATACCGGGGAAAGGCTGTCTGCAGTGGCAGGAAGGAAAACACATGTTTTGCTATGACCCGCTTTTCACACCCTCTTCCCATCCCCTCTGTCTTTCATGGTAGCTGTACCTGCACATCTCTGCGACTGCGATGGATATCAGCAAAGCACACCAGACACAGTGCCTGCAGAGGCCGGTCACCATGCTGAAGGGCAATCTTCATGGACTCCTGAAAGAAATTAGGTCTTTGGTCAGTAAGGGAGAACAAACGGAGCGGGGCTGTATGCTCCAGACACTGAAGGGTCAACTCTGGAGAAATGGCACAGCATTTTTAGTTAGTTTAAAGTACAGTCTTGTTCGTGTTCCTAACTAGAGGACATTCATAGGCTCAAATTTTGAGGCACACACTGCTACTAAAACCAGAGCTCTAAGACTGGGAGACAGTGGGAATATCTAGAGTCAGATGTGAAAGTCATGGCTTCCCTTTCCTCCCAGCCCTGTCCTGTAGGTAAGATCCCACTGCAGAGACCTCTGCCAGCTCTGTGTGCTTGCACCCTTGTACCTCACAGCAGTCCATAGCGTCTGCCAAGCGCCCCAGCTTCCGGTAGGCCACTGCCATGTGATACTGGCTCATTGCACGGTACTTCAAGCTCCAGCCTGCTCCATAGTCATTCACCAGCTCTGCTGCTTTACATGGGAAGAACAAAGCTTTCTCATAGTCCTGTAAGGCAGACAGACAGTAGTGACAGCAAAAGACTGAAAAAGAAAAAAAAAAGGGACAAAAGCAACTATTTTTGATTTACTAATACTGCAACAGCTAGCAGATTTTTGTACGCCTTTCTTCCCCTGCCTGTCCTCTTCCACGTGCCCTGCTTTCTCTATTGATGTGAATATCAAACTGTGGAAGGTGGAATTGCCATGTGCTGAATTCATATTGCTCTCTATTTTCAGGACATGTGAGAAATGACACAGCATATGAATTTTATATAGTACACCAACAGCCATATGCTGCCAGAATCATTTGTTCTCTTCTGTAGCTGAAGCCTGAAAACTGTCTCTGGTTTTATGTTATCTTTGCTTTCAGCATATACATGCAGCCCTCATGTTTTTCATGTGGAAAGTCAGGATCTCTCAGAGGCTGGTTATTCAGCACTGCAAGAAGCAGGAACAACATAATAATGGCCTCAGCAAATCCTCAGTAACTAGTTAAAACACACATGCAAAAAAAAAATATATATCTACACATCTTTCTGCATTAAGAAAGTTTAGAAATAAACCTTGTTTTATGATAAGTACATAAAAGTATTAAAGATATCTAAACCATTCTCAAGTGAGATACTTCAGTTAGCGAGTCTTCCGTTAGTGACGAAAATCAAGACTTTTTCAAGAAGGGAGATGATTTGTTGCATTTATAATGGAAGTTAGAACTGCAAATCACTTCACCCTCAATTCCTGCCTGGTTTTGTACATACAAATAACTATTTGCCTGCAACAGTAGTTGAACTAGAACCCTTTGAGTTCTGCCTGCTTGCAGACACTGCCTCCTCTGATGTGATCTTTGAAGCTAAGTTTAATCTTTTCAATTCACAGCTGCTTCTGCTGAACTACATAAGCATTCCACCAATCCTTACTACAAAGAGGAGTATTCTCTGATGATTTTACAGTGTAGATATTTAAATTTGGAACATTCTGCCAGCACTTCACTTCCTACAGCAGATATAAGTTGAAATTCACAATGCTTTCCATTATGAGACAATTGCCCTCCCATCCTCCCCCCCCTTGGATTACTGCACCTTTATCTGGGCATAGAAGTTCCCAAGGCTACAGCAGACTCGACACTCCAGCATCTTGTCGTCATTGTTGTGTGCATAGCGTAAAGCTTTTTCAAAGCACTCCAAAGCCTTCTGGAAAATGCTGAGGCCCAGGAAGGCATTGCCCATGCTGAGGCTCACCTGGCCATTCAGCTGCGGGCTCACAGTAGTACCCTGCATGTTCAAGCATGTCTTACAGTAAGATATTGTTTTCTGGAATTCACAGAGTTTCTCATTGCTGCGAGCCAGGTTTAGATAGCCCTCTGTAAGGTAATTTGGGTCTTCCAGCTCCCGTGCTGTGTCAATCTGTACCACTGCGAACTTCAAGTAGAAAAGACCGTGTTTATAAAAGGCATGCAATTTACTTAAATACAGCTCAAACACTCACAGAGTAGCATCCTGCACTGGAGAAGTGGCACATCCCTGAGCAGGGCAGCATGGATCACATGGCACGATATACAAGCAATTAATTATCTGAAGGTTTACACGTAAGCAGTCTATGTATGTGAACAGTCTGAAGAAACCTCTTTCTCAGCCTCTTGGACATGGACATTGAGCTGGCAGTTAGTGGAAGGAAAATGCTAAGTGACCCTAAAGAGAAGCAGGAGAGGCAGAAAACCTCTGGCAGCTCCACTTTCTTCTGCTCACATAATTAATTCTGCTTTCTCTAGAAGGCTTAAGATATTGAAGTACTCAATTAAAGAAACTAAGTAAGCTATTTCATCAATTTTATTCTAAAAATTATAGTCTAGTATTGTTTTTTTTCTTCTATGGTTCCCTGCTTCCAGTTCTAGTAAATTTTAAGTCTATTTTCTTTTAGACCTCACGCTCTTCTGTGCTCGGTGATGAACCAAGCACACTGCTGCCTTGAATTAACATTCATAACAAAGGTAAATATTCAGCAATTTTCTCTATATGTGTTTTCATTAAAGCAGTCAGATTCACAGATAACAATTCCTAAAGGCACTATCTGCTTCATTTTTGCACATTGGCAATACATAATGATTTAATCCGCTAGAACATGTTATGTATTCCAAAGTAGAAACCAATACAACTGCTTATGCTTGGGTGTATATGTCCACCCTCTCCTTAGCATTTCAAGAAAGCTGCCATGTGGACTCATTAGCATGTGTTAGCTTATTCTTTCCTGCATTCCCTTACCTTTATGTAAGTTCTTCATTACTTCTCGATTGCCACAGCCTGATTCCATGGTGTGAAGCAATTTTTCTCTCCGAGAGACTGAGCATAACAACTCTTCTTAAATCACAGTTAATTTCATGTGTTTAATTCAAAGACCCCTTTTTCCCCATTATTTCCTCTCTCAGTGATTAATATTAATGTTTTCCATCCTCTATCTTTGATAGCTTGCAGTAAAATACTCAGTTTGAATGAAGCTATTTGTTTTTCCTAATACTAAGAGGAAATAAAATTCATCTAATCTGAGCTCTTCTTTCTGTTCTCTTCAGGGGTAACAAATTATGGTTTGAGTATCTTGGGTTCACTCATTTGCCTGTTTCCCAGGTAGCTATACCTTACCTTTTTGGATTCTCTCTTCCCTAATCAATCTGTTGTTTCTGCCACCACCTATCCCACAGCGTTTCTCAGAACTTCTTGTCCTCAGATGTTTTCCATGTGTGTTAATACCCTTTTTTCCTTCATGCTAATTATCTGCTTTGTAGATGAGGTTTTGACATGTGCACAGGTTCACTCATAAGATGACCCCACCACTTCTAAACAGAGCTACCAGGAATTTTTCAATGAGATGTGGCACCCCCTTCACTTTTTGTGCTACGTGCTGAATGATTACTAGTCTAGTAAGAGGCGGTCAAAAACATTAGAACACCAAGGCCCTTTAGTAACACCCTATTTTAGACTGGGATAGCTACTTAAGACTGTTAAAACACTGTCCTGTCTTCCAGATTCCTCAGTCACTCTCCCAGACACTGTCTGCTACTGTATGTATGCATCCTGTGACTTCTCAGATCCATTCATCGGCTTCTTCTTATTCACTTCATCAATGTGTTTATCCTCATGCTTTTCTGAATGCAGCTTCAGCTCCTTTTTGCCACTCTTTGATCAAGCCCTATATCCTTTCTCCAATGCTTCACAACTGGGAGCCTCTCTCTGACCTCAACTGTCAGACTCCTCCTTGAACATCTTTCAGCATCCACCCCCTACTCCCAAAAAAGAATCTCTGTTCCCCTCTTAATCAGTCTCCTTGCAAACAATTGTAATAAAAATGTCAGATCTGTGACAGATACCAAGCAGTTGAACAAGATAACAGACATTTCCTCACAAGACTGCTGCTTATTCTATAGAATCTACTTGAAGATCTCTATTTACTCTGAGGTACATGCTGAAAACAGTTTTTGCTGTAGTAAATGTTCTGTTTTCATACCTTTCTCTGAAGCTTCATCACATGGCGAGCTTGTATGAGGAATAAATCAAGAAAGGTCCCCATGATTACCTAGAGAACCTCATTAACCTAGGAATCCTAAAGGATGAGGCCCAATAAGAATTTGTACTCTGTGTATCTTGTAAGCTGGAGCTATCAACACAGCGATTAAGGCAGCTCACAACATGCTCCCAATAGCTAGCACATGTTACTATATGCAACATAAAAGCCCTGATTTTACATTCTAATCTCCAGCCACACTCTGTAGTGGGTGTAACACAATGGCATGCATTCATCTCCAGTTTGCCTTACCTTCAGCATATCTTTGTATCTGCCCATCTCTGCATGAGCAGTGATGAGGCAACCCAAAACGCGAAACCTGCCAGCAGGATCCGCAGACTTCTCCAAAACCCTCATCCAGACTTGCAGAGCCTTTTCAGTCTGATTAGACTGGTAGAGATGGAGTCCTTTTTCTATCTGTTGCTTTGTCTGGTCCTGACCCATCTCCCATGCATTAAAAAGCCTCATGTACTAATCTCTAAATGCAGCAAAAATGAAGAGCCTGAGAGAACACAACATAAAATGCCCTAATACAGGAGGGCAGGTTGTGTGCTCAGAAAGCTTGGAGCTATAAAAACCCAGCCATGCCAGGCAGCTGGAGCTGTGGAAGGCAATGGCAAGAAGTGGTTGTTTGGCAATGAAGGCAGAATCCCAAATCCACTGAACGAATGTCTTGCTCGCTAAGACTACATCAGTGCATTCGCCTGTCCAACCCCATCAACAAAGACGAAAAGCACAACAGGGGGAGAAAGAGAAAAATCTCAAGTGACTGGAGTGAAACTCAATCTGAGCAGCCACTGCTAGGCATCTCCATTGGTTGCAGCTGTTCCTGCCAATCTGGCTCACGTGGCTCCCAGGAATGCTGGTCAGGCTTCCAGCCTCCAAGGTCAGGGTGAGCCAACTGCCCACCCCAGCCTGCCAGAATGCAGCTTATAAATACCTCATGGAGAGACAGACAATCAGCTGCAGTCACAGGGATGTTATGTTTGCCTCTCTTTTCTCACTTGCCCTTTTCTTTTGCAAAAGCACTGTGGTGATGGGGTAGTCTGTGAGGTAGTAGACTCAGCTAGCATTGTATCTTTAGGAACAATACATACTCTAAGAAGTAGGTTATGTTTTAAAAAGGAATTCAAAAATTCCAGTATGTACACTCTGCTTGCAACAATGTGCCTGATAGTAGAGCATATCCAGAGAGGGCCACAAAAATGATCCAAAAGACAGAACACTTCTCCTACAAGACAGCATGAAAGAGCTGGGGCTGATCAGCCTGGAGAAGGCTCCAGGGAGACCTAATAGTGGCCTTTCACTGCATAAAGGCGAGCTACAAGAGGAGGACAGACTCTTTAGCGGGGTCAGTTGTGACAGAACAAGGGGAAATGGTTTCAAGCTTAAAGAGGGTAGATTTAGGTTGGATAGAAGGAAAAACTTTTACACAGTGAGGGTGGTGAAGCACTGGAACATGTTACGCAGAAATGTGGTAGATGTCCCATTCCTGGAGACTTTCAAGGCGAAACTGGATCAGGGCCTGGGCAACCTAATCTAGCTGCGTATGCCCTGGTTCATTGCAGGGGAGTTGGACTGGATGACCTTTAAAGGTCCCTTCCAATTCTAAGGATTCTATAATTCCATACTTTGCCAGGCACAAAATTCTGCCTCCTTTCTGAGGACCTCAGCTGGCAATGGGGACTATTCCTGTGCTCAAGGATCAGCTCTGTCATCAATTCACTGCCAATATGCCACCAATGGCTTCACTTCTCAGCATGATAACCACCCTGAAAAACTTTGTCTGTGACTGACTGTTGCTCACTGCCATCAGATACCTGTGACAGTCCAAGAGTCTTCAACAGAATTTGTTAAACACATTTTTGAAGTTCTACATCCAGACTTTTCTGAACATTAATGAGGAATTACAATGAATTGAGGCAATACATTTCTGTGCCATCTGCTTTACATAAGATTCTCAGCCCAATTTGAAGATAGCTTTTAATTCTCCTATCTTTGAAAGAGTAAAGTTAGACTGTTTACTCTAGGAAGCAAGTTTCATACCTCTATTGATCTGGTATGCATTTTTAAGGGACCCAGCCTTTGAACCATCTATAGACTTACTCTGCCCTTCAGAAGAAATACCTAACTGTGGGGGGTATGAAGATGCATCAGGGATATACGAAGTTTTTCAGATACAGAAATCCCCAATGCAGTTTTGTAAGTCTTCTACTGGCCAATTAGAAATGGCAATTCAGATTTTCAACAACAGACCTAAATACAGAAGCAGGCCTATCTCCAGTTATGTCCATGCTTCTATATGAATATGATGCCTGGGGCCATGGGCAACCAGGTCTAGTATTCAGTGGGAAGGTTGGTGACCCTGGCGGGGGAGTTGGAGATTTCTGGTTCTTGAGGTCCCTTCCCACCTGGGCCATTCTGTGATAACTGATGGAATGCTGGTTGGATCATCCTGGTCTGGGTCATAGCTGCCCAAGGAAACACAAACCCAGAAGAGCCTTCCTGACGTAATACTCTTAAAGAAATCAGGACACACAAGAATAAGGAATCAGAGGCTGGAGATTCCATCCATGCCTTTATCCAAAATTCTATCAGAAAACAATTGAAAATACGTATTTCTTAATGGTAGAAATCTTGATACCATCAGGCTTATTTACTTTTGTGAGCTTGTAAACTCTATGGTAATCTCATTATTTAATTTAGCATTGTTTTTTAAAGAGGTGATGTGCTAGAAAGTGTTTCAGCAGAGCCTCTGTATACCCCAACTATGGAAATAAACTATGGGAAAAAAAAAAAACAAACCTACAGACAACTGAAGGAAAGAAAAGCTAACAAAGAGCTGGTTAATGCACAAAGCCAACACTTAAAATTATCTAGTTCCCTTAGATTTCAGGGTTTCTTTAAAAGCCAGATTCAGAATGTAAAAAACTCTCCTTCCTGCAGTGATTTTCACATGCCTCTCCAGAGGTGGGTGATGGGATGGACACATGATGAAGATAGATCCCCGTGGAAAGCAACAATAATGATGTGGCCATCAGATTTCTGGACTTGTAGAAACGTAGAGACCCAGAGACAGCAGCCATATAAGAATTAAGCCAGTCAGGACTCAAAAAGGGGAAACAAAAAAATTCACATAACTCTTTGCTGGAGCAGACTACTTCACTTTATTTTCATACCTGTCTGTAACTTAAACTCATTCTGATATTTTTGGGCCGCTTTACTGTAACACTGATTTTACATCCTATGAAGAAAGATACCTTGCAGGCTGAAAAAGCCATTCTACCAGGGAAATAATCTGTCCTGCATTTTGCTGATCACAGTGTACTTCCTTGCTTTTGTGTTGCATGTTATTCTCCAATGAAACAGTGCTTAGACTCCTAAGAGTCCAATAATCTGCCAAGATGAAAACTTTAACTTAGAGTTTAGAGAACCACCAAGCTCGAACTAATCATCCTCAATAAACAGAAACATACTGTGATGTGAACAGTACCCACCCTGAGCCCAATAAACCTGTCTAAATACCGAGAGGTAAGTGGATAGCATCACCTAGACACTGACTACGTGTACCTGAGAATTTAGTGGCAGGATGATCAGTCTGCAGCTCTAGACTGCTCTACATCACATGGGAAACAAATACATTACAGCTCGTGTACTGTATACAAATACAATACAGCTTCTATATTAAACCATCAATTGATATCAATGGAACTGCAAATAAACTTGCAAGACGCGTGGAAATCACGGAATCTCACCTGTTACACTGTGAAGCTATAGTCATACACATATTGATTTTCTAACAGTGATCATGCTGAGCTGTTAATCTCCTTGCCCATTACTTTTCATAATGTATCCCCTGTGGCTCCTGGGCACATGAAGACAGCAGAACATAGTGGTAAAAAATCAGGAATATTGGAGCCTGGAGTCAAAACAAGCAGTGAGAGCTAGAGGAAAATGTGAGAGAAAGATAAGGTATCCTAAAGCATTCAATATCAGAATTTAATCCATAGATTTGTGTTTTCCTGTTGATATTGATGAACTTAAGAACCTATGTAAAATGCTGCTAATTTTCAGAGATTAATACACTGGCTCTTATTTATAGCTTAATAGTCTATTGATTGGTGGTGGACTTCCAAAGGCTAAAACAAAACAAAATACCGACCCAAAATAAATAAATAAATAAACAAAATATTAAAAAAAGAATGCTATCTACCCAGAGGGATCTACCATCAGATCCGTAAGTTACAATGGGCAAAGCTGCTATTAACCAATTGGGTAAGATAGGGCTTGCCGTCTTTGTGGTACAAGAGGGAATCTTCCATCCCAAGTAAGCAAGCTACTTCTCTGATTCAATTGTTTCTCTCCATCTTTCACCTCAGACATATTTGAACTGAAATATCTCCAGCCTTCCTTCTCAACAGCTGCAAATTAACTGCAATGATCCCAGCACACTATGCAACAGGTGGCTTGGCGCCTCACTCTGCAATGGGGTACTGCAAAGGAAGGAATGCAGCAGTGAATCCTGGTGCTTGCAAGTGCTCTCAGATTTACAGTCATGTAGGAAGTAATGGGGTGAAACCAAGTATGCCATTTAACAGAAGAAAAGAACATGAGAGAGGAATATAACTTCCCCTGGGTGTGCTTGCACTCTGAGATGGAAGCCAGCAGAAGGAAATATCCTACTGAACTGTAGAATTGTTCACAAACATAACAGAGTCATGGTCATTGTGGTACTTTCTCCTCTGAGAGGGGCAATACTAACATCAAACTAGTGTCAAGTTTCTGAATGAATTATATAGGCAGAATTATATTCTGCCTATGACAAATATTAACCTTTAGACAACACATTACTTACAATAAAGTAATTATTGTACTTCAGTTCTAAAAGCAAAGCAGGCTTTGCTTATCACAATTTTTTGCCCATTGTAAAACCGGAGCTACTAAGTCCTGAGGTGTTATAAAATTCCAAGAGGTTTTATGAAAATCCCAACCTGCTTGGATTTCCCAGAATAGTATTTCCAGGCACAAGAGCACGAGGGCTAGAGGCACTTCCACAGTGCAGAATCAGGACAAGTTCTGCAAGCTTAGTCTTGTCTGGGGTAAAGAGGCTGTGGGAGTGGAAGGTATGGGGCTCGTAGGAGTAGAATGAGATGACTTGTCCAGAAGTGCTTATCCAATCCTACGTACCACCATGCACACATTCTGTTAATAGATAGCTCAGGTCTGGTGTTGTGCTTGAGTTAATCAGTCCTTCAAACACCAGAAAGCATAATGCAGGTGTGAGGCTGGGTATGTCTACAACTCATTCCTCGGTGAACCACATACCAGCATTATCCAAGGTTTAGAATTTGAGCAGGAAATGACACAAGCAAAAGCTAAATAACCATAAAAACATTTTCAATTGCACTCCACGTAGCTGATCAGCATGGAAAGCAAGTCTGTGCATCCAGAACAAGTGACACTGGATCATGAAAATTTTTGTAGTTCACAAGTAAGAAACTGAAAGATAATTCTCATCTCTCCTCAGCATCCCATACCTGGATCCAAAAAGAACCTCAAGTTTAAGACACAAACACAACACACAGGGACTCTTCTCAAACAGTTTAATAGCAAATAAACAAAGGAAGGTACCACACTTGGCATATACAAAATGACTTATTGTCGGTGTGTCTGTGCAATTAAAACAGCTTTAAGTTGCCCTTTGGGACAAAAAAAAAACAAAACAAAACAACACACACACAAAAGGAAAATTCCTTTAACACATACTCGCTTGATCCAAACTTGTAACAAATCTTTTCATTTTTAAATCCACTACACAAACTGCCATCAGAAAAGCAAAATGTGCTCCTCTGCTTCTTAAACCATTGAAGTAAAATCCATAATTCTCTACAGAGTACAACACAATTTCACACAAAAAGACATTTTGTTTTGCAAATCAAAACAAGAAAAATAAAGGAACAGCTCAAACAAGGTAAAGAAAAGCATTTCTATGACTGAACCACGACTTCGAGTTGATTAAATCCCATTACTGCAGAACAGACTCTACATTTGGTCATAGTGGCAATTTGTTTTCTTGTCACATTGTGAATCACTTTACATTGTTTTCTAGTAGAAAAGGCAAAAAACTGTACAAAACCCCTAGTGTTAAATACAATGTTTGTACCAATAAAAAAGCCCACAGGTTTGTCTCCAAAATGTAAATTTTCTTTTTAAATTATTCACAAAAAGCAGCCAAAAATCAGAAAGGCAGCTGCTGCTCCACTATCTCAAATCCATTAAAACCACCATAGAACAATTAAAACAACCAAAGGAAGGAAAGGAAATAAGAAAGGAAAGAAACATCCAACGTTTGGCATTTTGGTTTTCTTCAGATATTTTTCCACAGGTTTCCCCAGAGTTCCTTACGGAACCAAATGCGCACGTACAGAAATGTATTGGCAGTTACTCAATACACCGCAGGGTATCAGTGTCCCCACTGACACCCAGCCCTGTGCATTCAGACTGTGGGACTAACAGCAGCCAGCCCACAACCCCACCTTCAAAATAAACAAGTCTCTGTCCTTTTCTCATCCAGCCTCACACTTCGTTCCCAGGTATATGTACCATATCCCAAAAATGTTCTGTCTCTTCAGCTGCCTAAAGACTGTCTACGCAGATCTAACTAGTATGTCAATGGTATAGTATCCTCAGTCAACTCAGGATTGGGATGGAATCTTCACTGCATTTTCATTATCCCAAACACTGGACAAAAGTATGATTTCTACCCAATCAAACATAATTAGTAAACTCCTTTCTCCTGGGATTTCATGTCATATCATTTTATATGGTTAAGATATCTATGCTATCTCTCTGCTCTTTTTGACTGAAACTTCATCACAGCACAACACCCTTCAGGCGCCTTCATCTAGAAGCTACGTCTCACTTTCTACCTGTGCAGATCTTAAGTAGGGTTGGGGGAAGCCTGCCATGCAGAAAGCAGTGATTCGTTCTCAATCATTCTGCAAGCCAGAAAAACTGCTCAGCTCATTACCCAATTAAAAACTAAACAAAAACTAAAAAATCTCCGTAGAGATTCCCCAGCTAAGCCCCTTGAGAAGACAGCTGGGGATGGTACCCTGTTCAGGTAACAGCTTCAGAGGCTGTCGTATTGTGCTTGTCACTTGGGAAAAGAGCCAGCAGTTGTATGACTAGGTTTACAAATGCTTTCTCTAGAATATTTCAAATACTTTATTTCAAGAGCTACCCTAGATCTTTCCAGGATCCTGCCACCACCAGAGTCTGACTGATAGTATTAAGCTGAGGCTAGACTTCGTAAAAGTGTGCCCTGATTTATATAAAGTACTAGTAAAGAACGTTTCAGAGGAGCCCTAGCTTCAGAGAACTTTAGAAACAGAAACACTACAAAGTTCCCCCATCTTCCTGCTTCCCAGCTGTCCCCTTCCACCAAGACTCCTACTACAGGAATAGTGAAGCCCAGCCCCCAAGAGCCTCTGACAGTGCTGGAAATGGAACAAGGTCCAGGTGTTCTGTCAGGCAGACAGTCTAAGTGCACAGGTAGATGCCCTCAGGTGGCTTCTGATCAGATATTTCTCATACCAAAAACACCAATTTAAAAGGATACCTTTGAAACCCATTAAATTGCTCAGTTTTTGCACAAACTATAGAAAACAGAGAGGTGAAGGTGATATATACGAGGGTGTGAAGAAAACAGCAGGAAACATGCAAAACACTTCTGGGCATGATCTCAGTTTGAAAGAATAAAACAAAAACATCACATTTTGCTGAGGAGATTGTAGTTACGAAAAAAACCAGGCATGCTGGGGCTTAACAAAGTACAACATCAACTTTGATCAAATTTTCACTGCAGACTGATAATCACACAGGGAAGCAGGGGAAAAAATAAAATTAAAAAAAAAAATAAAAATCAATGAATGCAAGGGCAAAAATGTAGCTACAATCGGAAGAAAATGTAGTTCAAGTGTTTTCTGCTGATGCCACTCAAGTCACAAGTTCGAACTCAAAAACACATGCTGTCTCCTCAAGCACAGAAACCAGATCAGCAAAATGTGACTAGGAAGTCTCCTCAAAAATCGAATCACACGACATAATTGACTTTTTCTTCAAAACTGTGTTTTTAAAACTAAGCACACAGAAAAAACTAAGCCTAGAAAGTGATTGGCTGTATGTTCACAGAAATATAAACACTCCACAAGGTATGCTAGCAAGGCTGCTCTGAAGACAATTACAAAGAATCAGATTCACAAAATCAAGTGGTTATCTTACGAAGGTCTAGAAAAATAGAAATTCTTTTATATTCAAATGCAAGTTTAAATATTCCCCCTTCAGCAGTCTTTCTAGCAAAACCAATTTGGCAGCACAAAAAAAAAAAACAACAAAGAAAGAAACAAACATAATAAAAATACACATCAGCATCAAAGGTCAACACAAGGTCAAAGGTGAGAGTTCAAGCATCAGAGAAGCTGAAGAGACAAGGATTTGGACGATGTACTTGAACGCCACATCGACATGCTTTAGGCACAACGATGAACAAACGGCAGGAATCTAGAAAAAAAACAAACCAGAAAGAGGGAGACCCACTGAGTTACACAGAGCAGTACATCCAAACAAGGAGAGAGAGAACAAGAATGGGCACTGTACAATGAGACCTCCTGGGGAAGGGAGTTGACAGGGAAGGGCAGCACATGCCAACGATGGACAAGTAAAAGTCAAAGTACATGAAGGACACCAAGTAAACATCAAACTGCCAGAAACTAAATGGAAACACAGGCCTCGATTTTCCTCAGCATCCACTCTGTGGAGCATGCCATGGCCTAGGGCCACACTGACTACTATGGTTCACCCTGTCCCGTTGTCCAGGGTCTCGACTAGCTCTGTTTAAGAGAAGAACAGAGCAAGCACCCTCCTCAGGAGACTGATTCAAAAAAAATAGGGCTCCAGTGCTCAGTCAACCACAGAGATTGAGACTGTGAGAGACAAGACAGAGGACTCAATGGGATTCACAGGTGGTCAAGGAAACTTTTTTAGCATCCTTATATGGGAATTTCATAGGCAGTGATAGCCCAGGAAATCCATGTTCTTTCCCTCAGCTACAGCCCCTTCTCATTCCCTAGTAGCTCATGAAACTGTGGAGTTGGGTAGCTTGGAACAGGAAAATAAAAAGATTATACAAGACAAGTAAGTGGAACCAAAAACCCTACACATTAGAGAAGAACTCCTTAAGACTTGACTGCTAGTTAAGACTTGTCCTAGCTGAGTACTTTCCATACCATTCGACCTGCACAGGGATTTTCCTTTCCCAGCCTTTAACATAAACAGCCCCCGGCTCCCTGGCTTTGCAAGGAGGGGATTCTGGGCTCTGAGTAGCTCTACAGTCACTGTTGCCAGTTTGATGAATAGAAAAATATGTGTCCTGAACCATTCATAAGGTTTATAAATATGTTAATTCTTAAATTTTGATATACCTTTGTTTCTTCCCCTCAACCTCTGGAACTGCAAAAGAGAAGAAACATTTTGGGAAGAGTGAGGAAAGCAGGAGAGAGGAAACAAGGCTTTTCTCAACTCTCCTGAACTCCGTTTTATTTCCTGTATGCTGCCTTATTTTCTCAGCACCTCTCAAAGCTGGTGACTAGTGCAGGATGAGACTTTGATATTATACTACAGCATTCATGGTTTGTACAGAAATACAAAGGATTGTATTCTAGCTCCAAAGCAAAAGGCAGTACATTGTCCATTAGAACTGTGAGACTACTTAAAAAAATGCTAAGATTACTTTGCTCTTCATGCTTTCCAGTTTAGAGAAAGGACTTAGCATGGAGTAGAAACAAACTCCAGCAGAGTACAATGGAACTCTTGCAATTATTTCCACAGTTCTAGAAATGCTCTAGCTGCGAGGTTTTAAGTTCTAACCAGAAACTTCTCATGATCTGAGACATGAGACTGAATCCATGGCATGAAATCAAGTGGTGCCTAGCATGCACCATTCGGAATTGAGAGTGTGATTTGTTTAGGCTTTTTGAACAGATTTTTCAAATGTTTCACTTAGAACTACCACTCAAGTCGCTAAGTTCCAATAAAGCCATTAGGAAGCAGCCATGAGAAACTGAATGAGAACTCAATTGCTTGGAGAAAATCATTTCAGCTTGTCCTTGTTTTATTCCCATGACTATGATATTGTAATGCAACTGTTCTGCATTCTGTAGCTTATACTTTGTAGTAAGTATGCTCAGGGATGTATAACACCCTTATGTTTAAATGTCTGCAACAAAAACCTTTCAAAGTATTTTGCTTGTTCATAGCAGCACTCCCATTTGCAGCCTGCTTTATTCAAGTTTTTGTTTGTTTTTAAGATGCTTCCAAATAAAACACTTAGAAACAACTGCATAACTTGATGGATTCTGCCCAGTTGCCCTTCCCTACCTCACAACTATTAACAAGAAATACTTCAGCCGATTGTATGATACAAGCAAAAATTATTACAATGTGTAACTTGCTATTCAGATTTAAAGCTTTTTCCTTTATTGATTTTATGTGGTCAGAAATTTTGAGGCATATGTTTTCCAGAAAATACTTTACTAGCTGCAGATTCTATTTTATCACTGAAATATAAAAAGAATTTCACTGTCATTGTCTCATACTTTTGAGAAGTTCCAATTCTCTTCTGCTTAGATTTCAAATTTAAGGACTATGTATCAAAGGCATTTCCTAACAGTGCAAGGTCTGTACTGCAGAAGGGAAAGGAATAATTTATAGGGAAGTTTCTAATTTTGAACTGTTGGTTATCTATGAGACAGAAGAATCTATGAGTTCATTTGCAACAGTACTACATACTAAATAGCATCAGACTAAGACTTAAATCATTCATAATATTTTCATATTATTACAATATATCTAGTAAAATCAAATATATTCTGAGACAAATGTATAAAGTAGACACATTTCCATCTTGCTTCTAGAAAGTACGTAAGTATTTTCTGGTGACACAGGTAATGTGCAATTCTATTTCATGAGAAGTCTCATGAGGCTTTGTTTTAAAAACTTTCAGATTCTTTGGCTTGAATTAAAAGAAAATTTTGCCGGTGTGGCTAATTAAGCCAAACCCTCTAAAGCTTATTTGAACTCATCTGGTCCTTATTGAGCTATCCAGGAGTAAAGTGTTTGACACAAGAACAGATTATAATCAAGAAACATCTGATGATAGTTTCCCATATTATAAAATCAAGAGTCAAGCTTGCCCCCAAATGGTTTTGCTACTGCTGTTTCATATGCCTTTTTAACATTCCTTCCAATCTCACTGTCCCTGGCCTATACAAGCATGCTTTTTAAATTACTATTACTTAATTGTTGTTCTGCAGATAATTTCCTTATTTCTAAAAATATTTTAATGTATTCTTTCAAAACAGATACTAATCAGAATCTAATTCTTTGTTTTGGGCAGTTTGCTCCCATCAAGTCCCAAGAGCTGACTGATCTGTTTTGTGCTTGAATAGAGCATGGTAGGAATTAGAAATAAGATAAAATAAACCTCGAGCTTCCTTCCCAGCAGTCTTAGACTTTCCTTCCTGACAGACAGTGAGGAAGAAAACTGACTTAGAACTGGAAGGCAAGAACCTAAGTTTCTAGATTGAGCAGCAGCAACCAGAAAGACACAGGAATGTTAACTTTATCTGACCAGTTCTGTTTTCAGAAGAAAATCTGCTAAAGTCACAAACTTGATACATTTATTAACTTTGGCAACATATACACTGATACACCAAAAAAGGGAAATCTCCAACATATACAGAAAAAGGGCAACATCTTCAGCTAGTGAAAACTGATGCAGCTCTACTGAAGAAAGCAGAACTACATTCATTCAAACCAACTGAAGATCACGTATTTTAGAATTTAACCTGCATAGTTTTTTGTTTTGTTTTCTTCCTTTTTGGCAATACTTACAATGTAGTTATGCCAGTAAGGCACAAGAACTAGCCCAAGTTACCTGTCTAAGGTGGTTACGTCTGGGAGGAGTCACTGACCAAACAGTATAACGGTTGATCTCCTAAGCACCTATCTGCAACAATGCCCAGCTTGATCTGTAAGTCACAGCACTGAGGACAAGCTGTAGGATGTGAAAGCTAAAATGTCTAATTTTGGGCAGCTGAAATGACTACTAAAGAGGCCAGAGCATCAGATTAAAAGAAAAACGAGACAAAGTTCTCAGATAGCACAGTGGGGTAGGGTGCAAAGAAGGTAAGAGTGACTGTAGAGACCCCAGAGCACAGTGCTCTCCTCCACTGGTTCACAGCATTCATCTCTCCCATTTGGCAGTTGTTGGGCTGCAAACAGGCCACTCAGTAGTTTCAATTGTGCACATCATTATGAGTGTAAAACAATCACATTCAGGATTCTACAAAACCCTGGCCTTTTTTTTTTTTTTTTTCCAGTGAAATAATTTAGGTAATAAATACTCTCCACCCTGGAGCGGTATAAAACTTCTATAAAAATAGAAACAACATTCTTGGTTACAGCAGGTTGCACCTGGAGCAGCTGCTCCCAACTATTTTTTTTTCTTTTTTTTTTTTTTTCTTTTTTTTCTTTTTTTTTCTTAAAAGTATATTATTTATAAAAAATCCCATTATCACCCTGGAGGCCTTCACACTCCAACACTCTCTTCTCAGAAAACCAGGACACAACTTTCCCATCGTGTAGGATTCAAGTGTACATGGCTCACTTAAATGTTTACGTTTTTAGAGAGATCCAAATAAATAACATTGAAGGGTACCACATGCCAGCATAACTGGGAAATTTGGCAATCTGGCCTTTGAACCTTTGCCATCACAAAATAATTTGAAAAATACTGATAGGTTTGCCTATATGCCATCAATATCTACAGGCATCAACTAACTGATTTTCAATTTAACAATGAAAAGGGCTCTTCTGCTATGGGTCAGGCCTTGTACTTCTGAGGTTTGAGAATGGGAATGCACGAGATTCCCAACAGTTCACTGCTCGTGGGCACACAGATTGAACATGGTGCTTTGATGGGTTTAGTGCTCCTCCTGCTGGAGCAGAATAGAAAGTCCAAGCCCTATGTCTGACTCCACACATTCATTATTTAGAAGCTGAATCCCAAGCTGCAGCGATAGCTCACGCCCTGGGAAACAGCAACAACCGGAAATACCAAGGAAATAAGGACAAGGAGAAAATATGAGGTAAATGGAATTTTTGTTAAAGACATACAGAAATTGTAAACTTTCTCTTCTGACAGAGGTGGGTTTTGGTGGTTATGACACAGGACTCTACTCTGATTTCTTAGAACAACTCAGGCCAGAGTGTCAAAAGTCCTTTGAGCCCCTAAAACCAGGGTAGAAGGCCCTTATAGCAATGCACTAGCAATTTCACATGTATGCATAAAAAAAAAAATGTGCTGATTGAAGGGTTGTGTTTATTTTTCCTTCAGTATAAAAGATAACGGACCAAAACGTGGAATAAGACTGAATGGCTCAATGCTCTGTGTGTTAGCCCTGCTATGCACTGGTACACACCACCTTAAAGGAAAACTGCAGTATAAAGAAATACCTATCTACTAGACTATATCACTGCACAAATTAGATTATTATTTTTTTGAATAGGTAATTATCTTTGGAACAGAAAAACCAAGAAAGGAAGTCCTATTAAAACAAGTATAAAGCAGGAGCTTCAAGAACTGTTTTAGGGTAACTCCGTGCTTTGTATCTCAATTTAACAGTGAAACAAACAGTACATATTACGCTTATCAGAATGAATTCGAAGTACTACTCTGTGAAAAGGACATTACTCCATAGAAATGGAGAATGTAATGAATTGTTAGGAAAAAAAAAAACTGGTGAAAAATTCTGCAGGTTATCAGAGATTGAAAATTTCCTGTTTCCAGCCTCAGACATATTCATCCAGTCTCTAAGCTATGTCTCTCTAAACCAAGTTAAAGGATAAGTTCTCTTAAAAATGGCGAAATCCACTGCATCTCATTAACATTCAGCAGTAAATAGTGAAATTTTCTGGGCAGACATTATCTAATTTTATAAAGTGCTGTGTACATTCACAGTGCTACATACACACTATTTCATATACAGCAAACAAAAAAACACTGCAGTTTTCCTTTGGCTCGTTAATGTGCTCACCCTTCCAGCCTATCTGCTGCTTTAGAGATGATTTATTAATTCCTCACCATAGCATACTGTTAAGGAAGCATCAAAGAGTGGGTGTGGCATGACAAAGGCTATTTTGCGTTGGTTCTTTGCTCACCCAAACTTAGATAAACTCAGTTTTCCTTCCCCATCTTTGTCTCCATCAGCTGCTCAGTGTTATTTCTGCTTTCCTTTCTCCTCTCCCCATGGCAGTGTGGTGTCAGTTCTGCTTCCCCTTCTTTTCTCTACCCCAAGGCAGTGTGGTTTCAGTTTCTGCGGCTCCCTTTGACCTTACCTCCCCACCCCTAAGGAGCTGGCATTGGTCCTTCTCAACACACACTGGTTACAAACACAGCAAACTTAAATAAGGGAAAAAAAAAAAACAAAACAAAAAAACAACAACCTCAGCGATATGGCACCTAAACTCCAAAGTAAAACACTGGAAACAAAAGCACAAACTTGTCCTTCATTCGAAGCAGGATTCTCGGTAGAGGCTGCAGCCGAGTCTTCAGGGGAAGACGTGCCAGATAGAACGGCATGGATCAGCTTCCAGGACTGTAAAAACACAGCCTTAGGGCTTCGAATCACTAAGTGCGCTCCTCTCCAACTTACCAAAAGATCCTTCTCACTCCAGTCCCGGAGGGGAGGGGCGCTCAGTATGGCTTGCTGTCATTCTTAGAGCGCTTGAGCTGTACTTTCAGACGCTTCATGCCGATCTGAAAGCCGTTCATTGACTGAATGGCAGCCTGTGCAGAGACAGGATTGTCATAACTTACAAAACCTGAGGAAGAAGGAAACATGCAGTTACAACGTGCCAAAGTTGTCCAGAACAGCTACTCACAACACGCTCACAAGGTTAGAGAGGCTTTCATGAAATATGATTTTCAAGAACTGATAACTGCTTAGAATATTCATAAAAATCTCTTACTAAGAGCTCTCTGACAGTGTTTTGTTTTCTGACATACTGAACTTTGGGTAAAAGCTATACAAAACTCAGGAAATTTAAATCAATATTTTCTAGAATTCCAACACGAAAAGAAGTATCAACACTTTTTTTTAATAAAAACTTCCACCTGGAAGAAAATCAAACCCAGAAAACGTTAAGTTCAGTAAAGAGACAAAATTGAAGAATATGGTGCTTAGGGACATGATTTAGTTGTGGACTTGATTGTGTTAGGTGATGGGTGGACTCGATGATCTTAAACATCTTTTCCAACCTGAATGATTCCCTGTTTATATGACGTTGGCATTATGGGATTAAGTCAGTGAAGAGGCTGTCACAGTTGTGTGATATTTGTACCAGCATTACTTCTGGTACTTCTAGCTTCTGACACATTGTATAACATTCCACAGAAAAAGCATACTCAAAATAAACTTTCTCAGGGTTTTGAAAAAACCTATTTCTAACCCAGTCAGTGGTTGACATTACTACCTGGGCAGATCACTCCATATGCACGTTTTACAGTCTGATGATTGCCATACTTTTTTTTTTTTCTTGTACTTTCAGAAAGCACCAGCTTATCTGCAACCTTTAGACTACTAAATAGTAAAAAGCCACAGGGTATTATGTTAGTACAGTGCTTTGAAAACCACAGAGAAAAGTTCATCTCTCTTATACCATCACAGACGTGAGAGTTTACAGTACAACAAAAATGCTAAAATTGCTCCCACTGCTGTTTTATGAAGAAAATGAAGCTATGAATCTTTCAGTCCACACATGCAGTATTCTGCTAGGTAAGCTAAAGGAGAATGTCTTTTGCTCCTGTGGCAATGCAGACATCAGCAGTTAACGTGAAATAATTTATCTGAATAGCAACAATAACATGATGTGTTGATTTACTTTTTTTTTTTTTAAATAAAATTCCTGCCCCAATGCATCTCCAATCTAAATACACACCAGGCAGAACAAAATCACGAATACAACCAAAATTAGGTAGTGATAACGGCAGAAATAGCTCTCTAATTGTAAAGATCTCAGAATTAGCAGGAAGCTTTACAAATGGCCTTCAGAGCATTTACAGGGCACAAGAGTCCAAACCTTTTATAATGTACTGTAGCCTTAATAGTAGCAATAAAAATATTACTAGAAATAATTCATAATGATGATGTATTAAGCAATGTATATAGCAATGTAAAGAGTTCATGAAGAAGCAGACAAGAAGGAGAGAAGGACCTGTTCAAATTCTAATTATGGCAAACACCAATGGTCAATTATCTTGGGTCCTAATGGTATATTTTGAGGTATATTAGCTTGAAACCACAAGAAGTCACAAAGAAAATAGGAAAATTCAGTTCACAGCTGGAAGAGTTGAGGTTCAAGTTAACAGTTACGGAAAAATCACTTGATCTAAAAGCTAAAATGGACTATATACTGGAAAAAGAGATTACTAGAAAGAAGTGGTGCATCTACAAGTAACAGTTAGACCCAACGTACCAAAACACTTGCTTAGATTGGTCTGCTTATCAATGAAAACCTTGGCAGAGACAACATTTCCAAATGGCATAAACATCTGCAGCAGATCCTGATCCCCAAACTCCTGGGGGAGATGGTAGATAAACAGATTGGCTCCCTCTGGACCTTCAAAGCAAGAATATAAGTTCAGAGAAAGAACACATAACATAAGCCTACATTATAGAAAACAATAAAAGAAATGAAAGACCATTCTAGCTGGATCTTCTAGAGAAAACAATGAAATCTGTGGTATGCACTTCTGCAGAGTATTTGATTCCAGAATAAGTCAACTTGATCATTTGCTAGGATTGATCATTTGCATAATTCTAGCTCTTTCTCCACCATCTTTGCTTGCAATTTCCACACTGTACTAAGACTGCTTCACACATCTTAGCTGCAAGAAAAACTGAACGATAAGCTTGATGTGGTTTCATTTGGCCAAACGAAACAAGGTAAATCTCAACTGAAGCTGTAAGAAATAAGATTACAAGTAATTTGACAGATTATTTTCTAAACACCACCCTACATTCTGCTGAAAGTTTACTCTTATATTCTTCTTTATTTTATACCACGTTACATTGATTCAGAAATTGCAGAGTGGAGAATTGAAGAGAAACTAAAGAAATGAGATTAAGGATCTGCACAATGAGGTGGAAGACAAAGAACTTCACATTTGGAAATATTGAGAAACCAAAGTTAGAAAACAAAACAAAGAAAACAATATCCTATACCACAATTGATTCTTTAGCAATATGATATATTTGGCTGAAGACCCATACACTCTACTCCTCCAAGAAACTGGAAGAATACTACTACTAAGCACTTGAGACAAGTTAAATACTGGGAGAAAATATCTATATAAAAATAACTTTACAAAGTCATTAGTAGAGACACCTCACAGGCTTTCCTTCAGTTTATTCAATAACATTTATTCTAAACAATGCCAGCAAATTAAAGCTTTGCAACACAAGGCAGCTGCAAGGGCTAGGCTTGCCCTTTTGAAAACTCCTCTGAAGTTGCTTGCAAATTTCTGCCTACCTTCTTTTTGACTTCCTGCTGCACCAATACTCTGCTGTGTTAAAAGACTCTGGTTATAGAGTGTGGGCAATGCAGCAGCAGCGTATTGCTGGATTCCAGAATAAGCCTGCGTGAGAGCTTCCATTGTGCTACCTGTCCCATTTGAAAGACCACCACTGCCAAGTCCTCCATTTAAAGCTGCCATGCCTGTGTAAGAAAGAAAAAGTAAAGATGACTGAGTACTGCCATTAAGTTGAATCAAACATCTTTCATGACTCTGCACTACTATAAAAAAGCAAGGAGCAGGAAAAACAAAATTAGCACAGCTTGAGGAATGATAACGTGGTATTCCCCCAGTCCACCACAACACACAGCTTACCTGCTAGAGAGCTAACATTCAGGCCTGCTGTAGCCCCTGCCAGTGTCTGCAATGCTCCAAGAGAAGCCATGGGATTAACAGAGGAGCTGCTACTGGAGCTAGGTGAGGAACCTGCTATTAAAATAAGATAATTAAATTTCAAACAATACCTTTTTATTGTGATAATTCAGCTTCTCCATTAAATCATTTTTGTAGGAACAGCTAGTACAGAACAAACCAAGGCAACAGTCAAAAGTCAAGTGTCAAGGCAACTGTCAAAAACACTTCAAGCACATAAAACTTGATTGATCTCGTACCAAAACTCTGTGTGTTTTTAGAACTTTCTACATTATAACATCTATTTTCTGCAGCAGTAACAATGTAATGACATGTAAGACATCTGAAATTCAACCGATTTATGAGTGACATCTACCCTTTGTATCTCAATCAAAGTGACTAGCAGCAATATCTATTATTGCAGCCAGAAGTGACTAAGATTTGCTACATATTAACATGAATCCTTGAAACACCACACAAGGTGAAGATGACCAAAAACACAGATAGGAGCAACATCAAAGAAAGCTCCAGTCAAATTGAACATATGGTTTTCCAATACAGCCAAAGCAGGAACAGCAGATGCCCAGACACATGAAATAATTTTCCATTAAAAATCACACTGCAGCAGCTCAGTCTGTGGCCAAGAAAAGGACTGGAACAAAAATCTAAAATACAGTCTGTCCTCTATTGACTGCAGCACCACTAACGCCTTCAACTGTTTTCACCTCAGCAAGTAATGTCTACAGATACAGTCCCAAGCAGACTGATAGCTGAAATGTCCTGCCACATTCTGTAACAGGTAAGAGTTAAAAGTGAAAGCTGGTGCTGTAGAGGCATCTCGTGGTCTTCCAAGAGGAATTTACATCACATCAAGTGGGCAACAGAAGAACTGAAATTCAGGCATTTTTACTTTCCTTCTCATTTTTGTAATTCTCAGTGTGCTGCATCCATTAAAGCTTTGAAAAGAATTGTTCACATCTGTCAAGTGGATTTACCTACATTTCATATTCATCATGTTAGATAGGTGACATCACGTCTCTGCTGGTATGGAACATGGTAACTGAACAGAATGCAGCAAGCTCATCTAACAAGTCAGGCCAAAAGTGTGCTCTTGTACCTAACAAAAGTACCCAGGGAGCTGCACTCTGTATGCAGTTGAGCTTTTGTACTAACAGAGGAAGGGACAAGTTTGTTCTGGGAAAAGTTTTAGACAAACATTCTTAGTATCAGAAATCAAAGTGTCCCAAACAATATGTCAAGATGCTTACTCCAAAGAGGAGACACTTTTCATCTTACTATCAGTAACATTTTAAATGCTGTAAAAATACAGAGAACAGGTTACAGTAATTCTCAAGTCAGTAGAAAAACAGCACAGCTAGCTGAATAAAAGCCAATGTAAAATAACACAGCTGCCTTGATTTTAGAGTATCACTTGTTTTTTGCAGCGCTTCATTGCTAATCTCCATAACTCAAGCAGACACTTCATTTGACAGATGAGAACACCATTTCAAGAGAAATACAAAAGTGGTGGTATGGGAAAGAAAAAATGAAGCCAAGGCTTGAGAGCAAAGTAAAAGACAGAATGGATCCTTTGCAACTTTAAAAAGGTTGTAATTTTAAATACATTCATTTAAATCACTGCAAAAAGATGAATGCATTTATTTTTAGTTCTGCTGGCTTAACAAACATCTGCTTATGCAAACATGAAGCGCTGTAAGACATAAACATTGCTGAAAATAAGAACAAGAAAATACAGTGTATTTTCTTTATCATGTATATACAAGAATTGCTGTAGTGAGTCAGCACTCTGGCTGTAATGGTGACTAAAGGCATATTGAAGAATAATAGAGCAAATACAAAGCAATTACAAAACAATGCTTCCTAAGCACAGTTCCAGCAGCGTGCAGCATTAAGACCTGTTCAGCTGAGGGCAATGTCTTTGTATTTAAGTTATGATTTTCATTCATTAATTACACTGCATTCTTAACACAATTTTTTTTTTTTTTCCCTTGTGTTGTAAGGCACTGAATTCTGCCATTTAGGCATGTGTCACACAAAGAAATCAAAGCAGCTCAAAACTTCACCTGATAACCTGCAATTCTTGCCTTAGAACATCTAGTGACCAGCCTTTTTATTCATTTCCCTATTCATCTATTTCATGCCACCTATGTATTTGTTAGGCTTCTGTCATATTCTCCTCCAACACCAGACCTCTATTTTACAGACTTTCTAGTTGCTCTGAATGGGAAAGGAGTTTCATCTCTACTCATACTCTCTCTTATTCTGTTTTTCTAGTTTTCATATATCATGTCAGATTGGAAAAATAGACCACAGTAAAAGGGATGGAAAAGCAATGTAAGTTTATATGTTTTAGTCCGTTCCTAATTCTTAACATCTTTTTTTTCTTCCTCTCGTTGCATTTCTTCCTTCTTGCAATGCTACTGAAGTTAAATATTCTTGGATCAATGTACTGAATTACACCTAGCTAAAACAGCTAGCTGTAAGCTTATAACTGAAAGGACAGGGCTTTTTTAGCAAATTTTAAGAAGTTGCAGAGAATAGCTAGCAAAGATAACAAAATTAGGACAATCAGCTTGCAGAATGTAAACAAATGGATTTTCTTGATGCTTTCCAGAGAAGAGCAAGTCTGTTCTAGTTCAGTCATCTAGCATACTTTTCACAAACCAGCAGTTTTTAATCTAAGACTTCAGCCTCTTTAATATCCATAGGTGGATGCAGGAGCAGTACATTCAGTTTCAAAGGGTAGCTTTGGAAGCTGCTTTATTGCAAATTTGAACACAGAACAAGAATTCTTAACACTTCTGAGTTCAACCACAGTGACACACAACCTACGTTTAATCAAGATCTTGCACCACCTAGACTTCCAACTTCTCCAACACACAAAAGGTACGAGTGCAGATAAAAGAAAACACCTCATAATTGCTGTCTGGATTTTTCCACCACTTATGCAATCTGAAGACAATCCAGGAAAGATAGCCAAATAAGCATTAGGTGGACATTTGGATGACAGATGGACAGGAGTCAAGCTGGTAGTCATCTCATCTGCAGTTAGGTTTAAGAGGTTATCACAGTAGAAGTTGCCATATGTCTCACACAGACAAGGAAGACATTTACTGTGTCATTTACATGGCACTGAACAGCTATATTTAGAGTTTTTAAGGTCTAGGCATGGTCCAGAAAGGATGCTCTGAATGCTGTGTCTAACAGTGCTCTATGAAAATACAGTGTGCGTGCACATATAAGTATTAATCAAAAGACAATTCCAAGTTTGGTTTCAAAAGCGACAATAGCTCAGAGTGAAGAGCTAGCATGCTTTGCAATTATGAGAAATATCATGAGACTGAATGCTGTATATATGCACATCAAGGTTTTCTTTTCCTTTTAAGTACAGCTTTAAATGCAAAGTGTATAAGGAAAAACTCTTAAACTGATTTTAATTGGTAAGTGACTACATATAAACCATTATACCCTCTGGAATTATTTTCAGATTTTTTTTTTGAAGAAAGATAACCTCCACTCTTAAATTATACTTGAAATTCTGTTTTAAGAGCTTACTAACTGCTACATGCTAGAAGCTTGTGAAGAATAAACTAATCTATCTGTATAGAATATTAATTCAAATGACACTCTATGATTACTTGATTGTAGATGCACAATAATTTAAGAATGTGATTGGCAATCAGAAACTTGTTCAGGCTTAGGACAGCTGGTGATTGAAATTGGACTGCTGTTCCTCACCCTCTGCTTCAGGAAATGGCATCTGGGGAGAGCTGTGGGATAGCTAAAATACACAGAGGAGTAAGTAATCTCAAAGAGTCATAGAATCATAGCATAATTTCAGTTGGAAGGGAACAGCCCAAAGCAGGTCTGGTCTCTGAGTTAGAGAGATCTATTCACAGCCTTTTTCAACACAATTCTGAATCTCTAAAATGATGGAGATTCCACAGCCCCTCTGACACCTGATCCCTGTGCTTAATCACTTTCACCACAATTTTTTTTCTTTTCCCCTTTTACAGCCAGTCAGAATTTTCTGCTATTGTGTCCACTGCTCTTGTTCTTTTTGCTTTACACTTCTAAGAAGCTGGTTCTGCCTCCTCTAACATGTACAGCATTTTAACTTCACAACCTGTCAGTCTTGTTCCCCACCTCAACAGATAGAAAAAGCCAGCTCCAGTTAGTAGATGACAAAGCAAACAACAAAAGCTTAGATCTAAGCACCAATTAACCTCACAATTCCTGCTCAGCCACTGCACGAAGAAATATGGTAGAAATTCTCAGTCACATTTACTTCCATTCTTTCTCAATGTCAAAGCAGTAATAATGGATTGTAACTGTACTTCTTCTATAGCCTCAGCTCTGTGGGAATTTTGTTTGTTCTGAAATATTATAGAATAGGATACCACAACTGGTAGTCAAGATAAACATTGAGGTTTTACCTTGAAGGACTTCAGGCCACAACGCTTTTATGTAAAACTCTGTTATAACAGAATACTCTGAGCCGAGTTCTCCCTCAGGAATTTCTGTAAGCAGAAATCTGCAAAGCACCCACAGTTTAACACCTAATCAAGTGACATGTGGTTTTCTCAACAGCTGTTTCTTATAATCTGTTAGTCTAACTCTTTGGCACTGCTATGCAATACAAAAAGCCACCTGGGGCAGTTCAGAATATGCCTCCATGTGCTAGAGATTTGTGTATTCTGCTTCTATGAGGCAGTTGTATTTTCTTCACCAATGCAAGAGAAATATAAAGTGGACATTTCTAGTGCATTACTCCAAGTTTAAAGCATCTTCTATCTCCATGTCCAAAGGAACAGGGCACATTTGCTGCAATATCTGCCTAAATTCACAGCTACATTAAATATGAGACTGTAGTACAACGACTGGAAAGAGGCCACCTACCTTTCTGCTTCACGACCATTTCAAAACTCTTTTTTACATTACACTGGCCATTTGGAAGAAGAAACACAGCAGGTAAAGGAAGAAAAAAAAAAAAAGCCTTTGCTGGTGGCAAAGATATATCTACCCTAAGCAAAGGGCAGTGAATCTGCAGGTAGAACTCGTATCTATTGAAGACATTAAAGACATCAATTAAAGTCTCTATCAACACAACAGTGACAGAAATGGACAAAATAGATTACATCTAACCTGAAATGACTCCCCAAGGCAACCCGTGTCATAACACACTGGCATAGTCAGTCTCTTACCTGAGCTGGTGAGCACACTCAGGGGACTGCTGGAGGAGGTGAGTGCAGCGGTGCCACTTGGTGTATTCTGAGCTGCACTGGCTGCAGCTGCTAACGCAGCTAGGTTCTGTAACTGCATCGCATTCAGTCCTGCAACACATTGAAGAATGTACAGTTTCTCCTACAGTAGGCACCATCATCCAAGCCTAAGATCCATCAGCCTCTGCACCTCATAATAGGGTAGGCAGTAATGGGAAGGAGTTTAAGAACATCAGATTTCAGTACTAGTTACTGAATCTATTCAACCCTGTGATTCTTTGTTAGAACTAAAAGGGAACATATTTCGCACATAATGATGATTCTCCTTAAAAGACCATGATCTCAGATGCAGATTCCAGAGCACAGGCACTTTCAAGCAGTGTTATGTCCAGTCACAAAAGCATAGAGATTTTAACTGCTATGGAGAGTTAAGCCACGGTTTGATGGAGTTGATCTGCAAGCCAGAGAACTTGTCTAGACATCAGGCTAATAACCTCTTCTCATCTTATATGCCTCTACTCTCTTTACATGGGAACAGTAACAACTGCAGAATTCTTTTAAGAAGATCTATATAACACAGTGGCCAATGTCATACCTTTAACCTGTCATCAGCTGAACATCAACTTGTTTTGTCTGGCCTCCTTGGCAGCCAGGAAGCAACAGTCAACTGTGAGACAAGGTTAAGTGGCAACTCCTAACCATGAGATCAACCACTATATGCACAGATCAGTCAGCCGGTCAAACAAAAGTGGTAAAGAAAATAGAAAACATTAAGCATGTTGTGGGTAATAAGCCAGGAATACTCAAGTGAGAGGAAGATGTGTTGATGAACTTTTTTATCGGTCATTTACATATATGACTCACCTTCATTTTGATTTATAATTTATGAATTAAATGATTCAGTCAGTATTGACACTAATTTGCCATCTTTCCTTGTCACTCTATTATCATTCATCCTGATTCTGTTCTAAAGACTCCTGTATTTCAACCATCCTTCAGTTAGCTAGCTCAATTCTTCCATTTCTTCTTCTTCCCTTTCACATCTCCTCATTTGTGTATCTTAAATTTCTCCTCTTTTCCCATGACTTTGTTGATGTGGTTCCTTGTCTTTCAGATGCTTCATAAGTACGTGGTGACAAAGCACACGTGTCAAAATCTCAGCTTTACAAATAAGGATGCAAACAGACAACACAAGGATGTGAATGGCAATGCAGAATAAACTGTTCATCTTCTTAGTAGCTTATACTACCTTTAGCTTTTTTATTTTTTAAACCTCAAACTGTTTTAACTTTCTGACTGGGTCCGTATCTTTAATTCTATTTAGCGCTCAAAACAAGAGGATCCAGATTTTGTTTATATTCTCTAAGATGCAATTCTAACAAAAATATTAAGTTAAAACCTAAGTTTTGTTGTCATTGTTACTGTGCTACAAAGGGTTAAAATTGCGAGTGCTAGAGCTAGTGAAGAACAGAGCAGCTTGCTTCCTTTCTGAAGCAGTTTGGCATGTACACGCTGCACCTGTTCTCCTGCCATCACATTGTTTTTCCTTCTGCTTTCCAATAGGGTCAAGACTAAATTTTGTCTATGAAGCCCAATGCAGACTGGAATCTAATTACCTGCTAATTTTTCTATCAAAGTCAAGAAATGCAATTGAGATATTAATGGAGCTTTGAAAATAAAATAAAATTCTCCCTGTGTAGAACAACAGCCTTGGAAAATTCAAAACACCATGCGACATGCTACTTATATGCCTAGGTTCTCAGTTTTTAAGGTGCTTTTTATACAGTGAAGACAGAATTACCCTGAAAACTCCACATGCAGTTTCATTTAGCTAGGTCCCCCTCAGCAGCCCTATGGTAACAACAAACATGAACTGGTTTTAGCTTTCCTCCTTTACTACTATGTGCCTTCATACATAAGCAAGTGGGAAAAACTGGCATCATGCTCACAACAAAATCTGTATACATCACCATCACAAAGCTGTAGGGTGTAGCAACACAAGTCAGATGTACAAAGAGACATTTCTTTCTTAACAGCTCATGTTCAATGTCCGCACAGACAGGGCATGGACAATTGCTAACTACCAGACAACTCAAAGAAGCAATTTTAAAAGCTTTAAATGTTCACTAGTAAAACAAAAACCACGTTGTTGTTGGTTTTTTTCTACCAGCAAAAGCATTTAGAGAATGTGGAAATGGGAGTTACTAACAGGGGTCTTATTATTCCCAACCTGATGAGGATGGAAAGGGAAAATTAATTTGCTGCCCGATATCAGAAATTTAAGAATATCTCCATAGCTCTAGAAGAAATAAGCTAAAGCTACTTCAAATATACTTGCTTATAAAACATTCATCTATATTTGGTGTACATTTTGATCAGTACTCTACAGCTAGGAATCTGGCTCCTATCTATTAAGTTGGTATTTCTCCATCATAAAAATATTGTAATCAACTAGCTCAAATGCAGAAAATAAAGAAACAGAATGAAGCCCTGGTTTAAAGTGCTATCAACACTGCATTTGCAACTCTGAAGTACTCAAAAACAAAGAATTTGAAACAGGAGACTTAAAAAATTCATTGTAACTGAAACACATGCACTAGTTTCGATGAAAATGAATTTATACAGCTTTTTTTTTTTTTTTTGTATCTGTAAGAGATTATAGATTTCAAATGCCAGAGGTAAGAGAGGTGAACAGCATACCACAACTTATCTTCAGGACAATGGTTAACTAAGATTAAGAGTGAACTTCCACACTCGCAGCAGAGTATTCCTATTATTCCACAAGATCAGCAAACTCAATACTATTTACTACAATCCAATATGTCTACAGCCTTCTGGCTACTTTCTCTACCCCCCTCCTCTTTACTTTGGTATCAAATTTATCCTCTGATGAAAAAACTCACCTCCCATTGGGTGGAGGCTGCTCAACGTGTTCAGGTTCCCAGATGAGGCTGCTGCTGTTTGCTGAAGGAGCTGCAAATAAAGCTAGACATTACACCAAAAAACAAAACAAGAGTGAGAGTGAGGGCTGGCTCCGCTTCTGGGAGAAACTGCATCACACCACAGCCAGAGTGCCGTCACAAAGGGAATTCCCACTGCTTACACACCACATCACAGCAAAGCACATCAAAAATTCCTCTTATAAAGCACAGCCAGAACACCATCACGGTGAAAATCAGTGTTGCCCATGCACTACATTGCAGCCAAAGCAATAGCAAAATGCTTTTCACACTCAGCATAGTCAATACACTAGCCGAGGCAAAGCTTCTATCTAATGCACAAAGACAAATCAGCACTGAGACTCAGTAATAAGAGTGAGTTCCCTTTCAAAGTACCTCAGGCAGATCTGCCACCTGCAAGGATATACTACCTCAAGTCAGACTTTACAACTGACATCACCCATATGGGACAAATGGCATGCCAAAAGTCAACGAGCCAATGTGAGAGGGGATCTCTTTCACTTTCCTTAAGCACAGCACCCATTAAAGAAATTTCAAGTCCTGGCTAGGAAGCTATTCAGGAAGATTTCCTATTCCTTTCTCCATTACTTATGTATTGTTTAAAAAAATTCCAATCTATCAACTTATGCAGAAGTAAGAGAACGCCCCCAGTGCAATAGTACACCATACCAAGAATGAGATGAAGCTTTCCTTTTCTGCTTTCTAGATCTTAACATTGCATGAAAACAGTTCTCATAACTACTCTAACAACCTACAGCACATTAGTTTATGAAAACAAACAGCAGACTGCACTCTGTTGTATCACTGTTGCGAGAAAGAGCAGAGTCTCTCTATTCACTGGTGAATAATTGTTTTTGGTTTTTTTTTTTTTTTTTTTTTTTTTATTGTGCACTGTGAGCTGCTTGATGCTTTCACCTGATCAGCTTTTCTCTTTGTACAGCACCAAGCACTATTCTATGTTTCACCGGAGGAGGATGAGAGAAATAAATACTGCACGAGGAACAATGGAAGAATACAATAATTATGTTATCATTATGTCACAAAAGACGTTAAAGGGTATATATTTAGATGAATAAACACAGAGCCCATAACATGTGAGGAAAACCTTCCCTCTACAAAGTTATTTTACATGCAATAGGAAAAAAGTTTCAGTGCTTACTACTTCAGAAACTGGGGCTGAAATATTCACTTAAATGCCTCCTGACTAGCTGTTAGGAAATGACAATTTCCTTGTAATTCAGATTCCTCATCCACCAACTGGAAGATAACAGCCCTACTCCTGTCTATAAGGAGCCTTCAGAATCCATCAAACGCCAAAAGACAATCAGACACCAAGCTATGAAGAGATGAAAAAAAACCAGGTCAGAAACTCACTGCTAAGTATTGCGGTCCAAGCGTGTTGAGACCAGCCAGGTTTCCCCATACAGAGGCAGCACTGATCTGCTGCATTTGTTGCTGGAGTTGCTGAGCAATTCGTTTCTGCTCTTTGTCCTTCTGTGTGTCTGCAAATTTTACCACAATGGGAGAAGAGCAACCCTGCAAATAGCAATTGAAACAATTACATACTTCATCACAAAACTACTGCATTAAGACCAGCCATTGGAAACATTTCTGATACCCTCCCCAAACATATGTAATCAAACAGTGCATTTAATTAAAGGTTCAAAATCTCATTTGCTTTTTATTCTACTTTGTACTTTCATATTTTCTCTGCAGATGAGGTTTCTATCTTGAATCCTAATAGTACAAGCAGAGCAAACACAACAGCCCAGGAGCAGTATTTATATACTTCTCTCCACTCTCTAGTTCCCCAAACTCCACAGTGACTGCCTGACAAATTGCATCATCTCTTGACATCCACCACCTTGTCTTACCTCCATGGTTTGCGCTTGGTGCATTGCTTTGATTGCTGTTTGCGCCATGGCTCTTGTTGTAAAAGTCACAAATGCACAACCTGGAAAAAGAACACAAAAAGGAACCAAGTCATCACTATATACACATTTCTAGAACAAATAAAGAAATGAAATGCCTATTGGAAAAATCACAGGAATAGCTGAAACGCCACCCTGAGGTGCAAAAAGCAGCATCCAGCAGAGAACAGCCAGAAAGGTTCCTGCTTACCTCGGCTCAGCCCATCTGGGCCCCGTAATATCCTGCATTCTTCTATCTGCCCAAAGGGGGAGAACATCACTCGGATATCATTCTCATTGCACTTCTTCGATATCATTCCAATAAACAACTTCCTATCTTCTACTGCTAAGAAATCAGAAGATAAGAGTATTACCAGCAAGTATGCACTTACTACATCTTATTTTGTCAAATTTTCTCCATCAACTGTAGAATTACTTCTCCTCTAATTTGGGGAATTCCAGCTGCTTGTCAAAACCAGATTCCTAACAATGGAATATTTTTGTTTTAAGAAGATTCATATTAGACTTCTCATACGGATCCTTGTTTTACATTTTACTGAGCTGCAGGAAGTGAAAATAAATAAATATTGCATTCAGCTCTTCCCTGTACCTCCCACATTCATTTCCTGGTGAAGAAGAGTTGTGTGTATTTTACTGGACTATTTCCATTGTTTCTCATCTCTTCATTTTAGACAGCCAATGCACCTCAACTGCATGTAAACAAGCATTTTAGTTGCAGAAGGCTTCTTTCTAGACTATTAGATTACCCTCTACCATGCCAAACATGTGAATTAAGTTCTGCCTATTTCCTTATGTTCTTGCCAACAGTAGAAGCAAAAGCCTTTTAGTTGTTTCATATTGACCCATTTAGATCTTTACCAAAAGCATGAAAATGACACCTCAAATCTGAGCTGTCTTTTACCACATATTACCTCCAAATGCCAATGCAAAGATATATTAAAATTGAAGGAAAGCTTTCAGTGTGGACTATTTTAAGATAAGTGGTGCAGTGACAAACATTTATCTTCATCTGCCAGTTTGTGGCTACTAACTTCAGAACTTTATACCTCTCAATCTATGGATTTGAAAATGCTAGTCAAATAGTTAAATACGTCAAATGCTAGTCACCTGTTTTAAGTGAACGAGAAAATTATACTCTGAATGCCACTTGGACATATAAAGCAGTTCACAAATAAAACATTCAATGCTATAACATGACAACTGCTGCAGCACAATTTGAAGCTTCAAGACAAAAAAAAAAAAAGTCTTCTATTTAGTGTCACAGCAAGAGGCAATTTATTTGCTGAGCCTTCCTTGGAGTTGGAGGGAAAAATCCCAAGCCATTCCAGCTGGCAGGGCTTCAACTGACCATTAAATCTTAAAAGTTGCGCTCAATTCACTGTCAAACTCTTGGAGCATAAAGCTGTTTTAAAATCCTTACTGTAGTCAATTTTAGCTCAAGAGAACCAGAATTCCTTTTATTAATGGCAAGTTAAAATATTTTTTTAACCAATGCTTTCATGTTTATACTTTCATCTACATTTTTTTTACTAATATTCATTTAATAGCCTCAGATCTGCCATCTAGAACACTCCTAAGTCCTTTCTGCCTCCTCCTTTCCATTATTTTCCCAGGAAACACACATATCTGAGCATGTGTACATGCATATGTGTGTGCATAAATAAACTCATATATACATACATGGATAAATGATCATTTTACTCAATGCTAGATGTAAATGTCTGAAATGGTCAATGTACAGAACTACATTCACAGTATTTTCTCTGCTGGAGATGAAGTGTTGACTCCCACTCTAGTCACAATAGACCTACAAATTAGTTAAGACCTGAAAAGCGTTTCCAGATTTCGGCCACCTTAGTTCTACCAAGAACTCACTGGATGTTTCCCTAACCACACCATGGTTTTTCTAGCAAACAGCAACAGTGGTAGATACTTAGTCATGAAATTCTAGAGACCTCATTTAAACTGCCTAGTGTACTGAAAACATTTGTTTAAAAAAATAATTAAACCCAAACCCCAGTACAAGATGACTTTGTCAGAAGCTGTTCAACACAAGGAAAATCTTGAAGTTTCCCAGTTGGAATCAATTATGCCACAAAATTCAGATTTTAGTAAAGCTTACCATTATTCTTTTCACTATCAGCTGGTTTCATCTGGATAGGATGGTGCATCTGAAATGCAAACAGATTTAATCATAAATGCATTCACTTTATGCTAGATGAAATACATTCCCACAACAACGGTGGATGTATAAACTTGTAGCCTATACTGCCACTACAGAAAGGCATTAATAACAATATACAAGCATCTGGAAGAAAAATCTTTTCCTAATTATATACCATCATTCCTCCCAAGAAAGCATTATTACAGAAGACACATCCACCCACTCTACTACCAAATCTATTATCGTTCCAATTTTGTGATTTTTCTCATTCTAATAGTTCCCTTAAAACAAGACTTCAGAGAAAGATAATGTCTGTTTTTATATCAGTGGCATCAGAGATCAGAAAGACAAGATAGAGCTGTGAAGGGAGCATGTCTCTTCTCTTACCCCTGGGAGAATCTTCATGTTGTGAAGAGCATTCTGTGCTTCTAGTGCAGCTTTACGGGTATAAAATGTAACAAAACAGCACCCTGCAATTGAAACAAAATGCTAACCAAAGAAGAACTCTATGAATCTTGACATGCTGTAGAGAAATTATATGTCCCACTTCTACTCATCCAGTGACAACCAAAAGAAGTTAAATAATGAAATAGGTAGGTATCACTGACAGGATTATGTTTTTCTCAACAGTTACTAAGCGTAATTAAAATATTCTGAACAGAGTCAATACTACCAGCACAGCACTAAAACAATCACTTAGACACATCTAGCAAACAACTCTTGGCTACTTCCATTTCTAAACTCAATTACTTGGTTGTATCCAGAACTTCCACCTAGTTTCAATGGCAATACAATATTGCATGTTTCTGAATTTTGTATATTATTTGAAACAGTGACATTTCCAGCAACATTTTGGCCATATCATAACATTATAGCAATGCTCTGGAGCAACACAATATTTGTTTATTAGCTGCTCTGCTCAGCACTCATAATCTATACTCTTCATACATCCCCAAACAAACATGTAAGACTGGAACAGTGTAAAAACAGCAGAGGGCTCAAGTCTAATATGAGAAGTATAGCTCTCACCTTTGCTTTGAGGAGGGTTCTGGCTCCTGTCTCGCAAGACATTGATTTCATAGACAGCACCATACTGTTCAAAAAGTTCTCTTAAATCTTTCTCACACCAGCTCCGTGGGACCTGACCCACAAACATCTTGATAGCATCTAGATCAGGTTGATCTGGGTGATCCAGTGTACCATTCATTTTCTTTGAGCTACAAAAATTCAATAAGGCATTTCAGTTACTTAGGTTGCCACAAATTCTAGATGTTATTGCAATTAGAAGCAGTATGCCTACAGCAAGTAGGCTACAGCAAAAAACATTTGTTACATCAATATGCATGCATTTACATATACATGCCATATACATAGATATGTACATTGCTTGCCAGTGAATGCAAATAATAATACACATACACACAACTACATTCAGAAAAAATATTATTACTCGCATTCACTGGCAAGCAATATATTTGGAAACCAAGTACTCTCTTCATACGGTTGTTTAAAACTTCACCTAGTGTTTGCTCCTATAATGTAGTCAACATCTACTTTTCACACGATTTTCTGATCTGGAAAAATATTAGTTCAATTCTGTAACATTTTACAGAAGACACCATAAAAGAAAAAAAACTAAACTCAGCTGAACCACAAGCTGCTGCAGTTATTAATAACTAAGGAAAATAAGAGGACATTTTTTGTATGCTTAAGCATGACTATCTGTAACTGTTTCTCAGAGCGAATAATATCTTAAAACAGAAAAAATACAACTGAACTGATGAGAAGTCTCATTAAAGGTTTTCAACACAGCAGCTTTGTGGAACTAGGCAGCTTTGAACAACACTCAGCAAAAAAAAAAAAACAAAAAAAAAAAAACAACCAAACAAACAAAAAAACAAACAAACAAAAAAAAACCAAACAGGCTGACAGCACTGATGAACAGGTTGGCCCTTGATAATCTTAGTTTCAGAGTAAATCAGGCGGACTAACAGTAGGCTGCTAACACAGCAAAAGAGACATTTATTAGACTATAACACAGAAGTTTGGAGTATGGGGTTCCCTGCATGTGGCAGGGGGTTGGAGATTCATGATCATGAGGTCCCTTCCAACCCTGGCCATTCTGTAGGGTTCCACAAAAGGCTCCCAGGCGATACATGTATGAATAAGGTACTGCTAGCCATTTGAATATTATTTATGGCACGTTAATAAACTGCACTGTACCCTGTTCAGCTAGTTGCAAGCCATACACAGCATTCAGTATCGACTCCTCATTGCCTGTTGAATACAATGTGAGGTCTTGTTTTTGGTAGTCAGTCTGATATACCACAGGATCTACCTCTGTGGAAGACTGCCTGTAATGGCAGCTATTCTACTGTAGCTATAGTGATTAGCAGGCTAAAATCGCTGACCAATTCCAGCAAAATCTAGAAAGGACATGAGGAGGACAACAATAACCATGCAGTGATTCCCTGCAGGTCTCAAACCCTTTGTTGAAGGATACAAGCATCCATCTTCCAGGGTACTCAAATCCCTTCACTTCTGCCTTTTTCTCCTCTTAAAGATTATTTTTCAGTGGTTTATTAACGGTACATTAAACAGTGTTCCATTGCTCATCTGCAGATTCCTCCTTCAACAGACTTTTCAAAAAAAAATTCAAAAGCAGGCAATGTTTAGTTATTTTTTCCTTTCCATATTCTGCTGCACAGAGCCTGATAAAGAACTCCTGCCATAACTTCCCAACAGTATCAACAGACCTCATGAATTTCTTACCAGGAGGGATGGGAATAATCACAAATTCCTATATTACCAAACCTTTCCACTCAAAGGGCCAGCATCTCTTCAAATGTCCAAGGTAAAGAATACTATATATAAAGATGTAGATTCCATGCTTTTTGAATCCGATTGAGAACTGGAAATCACTTAACCTCCTTAAGTAAGAATTTTCAGCCCCACATTCTTTCCCATGAACAGTTTCAAGAGCACAGCCCATCTCCTGTTAACTGAGCAACTTTCATGAGACTTGAACAGTATTTCAAGGAATCTTTCATTCCCAATTAAAAGGTAGAGTCTGGAGTCATCAACGGGAGAGAAATGGAAATGTTCACCCAACAATACATTTTAATAACTGATTCTGTAATATCAGCACCTTTTGCACACTGTAAAGAGTACAAACAAATAGCTTTACTCCTCCTCAGCCCTTATCCTAAAAAACAAGTTGTTGTGTTTTGTGGTTTGGTTTTTTTTAATCTTTCCCCCCTCATCCAGAACCCAGTATCGACTCTTAATGTCCAGTACAGCTTCTCCACAAACTTCAGACCTCCAGATCCTCCTATCCCTCTTTTTCCACTATCACAAAGGGAATGTATTAGACAGCAGAGGCTCCAAAGACAGCAATTCCAACTACCACTTTGGTTACAAGCTCAGACATGAACACACAATACTTACACAGGGCTAGCATTCAAGGAGCAATGGTCCACCATCATCTCTGGAAGAAAATCCAACTTGAAAGCAGCCATCACCTCGGTCTGTCACAAACTCCTAACACTAACTCAGTGTATTGCCTAACCCCTCAACAACACCACTTCCAAAAGTCCTGCAGGTCTTAACACTCGGCCACACAAAAAACACTCAAACCACAGAAACAGAAGCTCAGGGAGACCAGCAATAGACACCACAGAAACAAGCTGGACTGGGAAAGGGACATGGAATCCCAGATTAAAAAGGGGATGTGACCATGTGAAGGGAGGCTCAGCTCAATACACAATGAAAATGCTGATGCACTGGGCTTGTTTTGTGCAATTTTCCCTGGCGAAGCAGTACTGAGCACACTGTCAGATAAACAGAGTGTCAGATCCATGAAGATAGCAGTGGGTAACAGAGCAGAAAGAATACAAACTCCAGTTTTTCCACTCCCAACTAACTCCTTGCATCCCAAAATGGCAGTCCAAGACCCTGAAACACAGACAGTTCCCCACATCACCAGAATTAAGGCAGACAATTTGTTATGTGTAGTCAAAAGGTTCCTTCAGCACAAACCTTTTCAGTGTCTGATTAACAAACTCACTCTTTCCACCTTGTGCCATTTTTGACACACTCCTAACTTACAGGGAGACAAATCTGAAGCTATCAAAAAAATTATAACTGAGGAAATTTGGTTGCTCAAAAAAATCCGTTACAATCACAGAACATCAACGGCTACTTAACCCTCTTTAGAGAAGCAAAACATACATTGTTTTGGAAAGAGCACTTTGCACCATGCCTCTTTAATTCCAGAGACATACAGAGCCTACAGAAGATAAAGAAAGGGAAAAATATGCACCTGCTGGTTATGCCATTTTTGCTTTTGTACTGATCCTGGTAGTAATTTGTTGAAAACTGTTGTATAATCTTTGAAAACATTGATGTTAACTCCACAGCTTCTTCATCGATAAAACAGGTGTAACGTGTTCTTCTACTCACTGTGAGGTGTATTTGTACATGTAACACAGACCTCCAGTAGTTAAGCCACCAGTATTTCAACTAATGGGGAGATAACCTCGATAATACTGGATGCATTGTGAGATATGTGAGGAATATTTGATTGCAGAGCGTGCTACAAAGCCAGCTGGGTGTGTCTGAGCACCAGACCATTACCTCAAGTCCAGTATGAATCCAGATAAGCCTTATGCATACGTTCAATACAACCACATAATAAACTCTTAGAGCATCACAGAACACATTCTGGGGCAGCTGTGATCATTTTTCTCATCTGTTAAGTACTGCAACATGTACCTGTAGTTATTTAAGAATGGCCAGTTTACACAACTTTCTTCATGCCTGCAAAATTAGAGTGTGCCTATTATTATTATTTTTACATTAATAACTATTTCTAGTCTCTGGAAAAAGACTATTTTTCATCTTCTGCCTGCAGAAAGACTTATTTAAAATCTCTATTAAAAAGAGCTGGACCTTTTAATACAAAGGCATAAGCACATTACTGCAAAATAAAAGAATGTGTTAATTTATCACACATGGTAGATGTTCAGCAGCAACTACTTCACACGTGCTCTTGCTACACGGTAACTGCACTGCTCCTACAAATAGGTAAGCAGGCACTGTGGAACATGGGTCAATTTATTAGCTTTCAGTAAACAGCTGGCATCTTCCTTCAGACACATCTCACAGGCCTCCTTCTTGAAAAATGCCATGCTGTATAAAATGCTTTACTTTCAAATGTTGGATTCAGCCTGGAGTCCAATCTGTGGGACTGTTTGAAAAAAAGTCCATAAAGAGAAACATTTCAGATTTACATTTTAAGAACAGCAGAAGATGTAGTGGGGTTCTCTCCACTGTTCAGGTAATTCTGTAGCTCAACAGTACAAATTCTAGCCTTACCAAGGAACACCTCCTGTCATCCTTTGCTTTCTGAAGCAGTCAGTAAAATACTCCAGCAGCCGTGTTCACCACAGGTTCAATAAGAGATGATGCTGGTAAGACATACTCTAGAAAATGGGTTTCGAAAATGTTACTGAGATTGATTAGTTTACTGAAGAGAATCACTAAGTCATTATGATTTGTTTATACCCTCACTATTTTCCTCATCTCTCTGCTCCTCAAAATTGAGAGCTTTTTTTTTGCCTCCTCCATTAAGATTAAAAACACAGAAAAAGTTACAGGCAGAGAAGCTCACAAGCTCTTCACTGTCACACTGTTACAGACCATGTCAAGTTCAATCTACTGGCTTTGAGAATTAAAACATTGATTTTGTGCCATTATCCCGCTATACTTTAATTTCTTATTCTTGTTATACTTACTCTCATTTCTCCTGTGATATGCTCACTTCGGTTAATAAGCAACGGTGCCAATATTTCAAATGCTGTTATGCACAATTTGCAGAAAAGGAAAAATCAATACTAGAATGGTGGATAAATACCTGAAGGTGCATTAGTCAAATACCCATGCCTCAAAATAGCACAATTCTGCAGTAACTGGTGGTTTCAGTGAAAAAGCAGCAGTACAGAGAACAGATTTGTTCAAACATTATTTAGTTGAAGGCATGGACTTGATGAGATTTGAAGTCCTTTGGACTTTGCTTGTAAAAGTATCAGAAAGAGTACAAAAAAATCTTATTTCACTACTGAATAGAAACTGGAAGAATTAAATGAAGCTGTTTCTTCGGAATTATAAAAACATGAAAGTTATCCCAGCGTTGCTCACAAAGAAAGAAAATGTACAG